AATAAAAGTTACGCCTTCTTTCTTTGTGTGAACATTTGGCCGGCGTTATGCAAATCTTCCCACATCGTGACATAGACATGTGGGGGCGTGTTAGAATGAGCCGTTTTAGGTAGGCGTGGCTGACTCTTAACTTTTATAAAGAATATCTCTTTGGATTTGAGACTTTAGTCTTTGCAACTTTACAGATCTTTTTTATGCACCTTTTTTATGCTTTTAACACTCCAAAGAGAAAGGAAAACTTGAAATTGCATCATACGACTCCTTTAAAGAAGGACAAATTGGGAAGTACTTGCCTTATTCTGTCAGGTGATGAAAGACAGCACTGACACTCCCTGAGGAAGAGGGAATGGAGAAATGGAGGGATTAGTAAGAAATGAAAGAGTGCGAGAGCACTAAACACTTGATTGTGTGTGATGGCTGCAGGCCTCTGCTCGGCATCAAAGCTCAGTAATGTGAGTATGTAATTACTATGTGTTTAGTAAACAGGGATGCGGCTTTCCTTTGTAGCTGAAGGGAGCGGTGTGTGCAGATGTGTGTCAGTGTGTGATTCACTGATGCCGACGCAGGTTACCAAAAGTTACATGACAAAAAAATGTATACATATCTATCTCTCCAACCTTTTCTGAACCCAACACAAAGATTTAATGAGAAAAACACATCAGAAACGGACACCCACAAAGTATAAATCTTTTTTTTTTCAATTGAGCAATATCACGCAAGCAATATTGTTTGATTATCTGCGTACTGGTATTCACAGCCATAATGCTTTTACTATTGTATAAAAGCAATATCACACCTGCAGTCATGATGCCTGCACAATTGCGAGTGTGATATTGCTTTTATACAATAGCTCAACAAGTTCATATTGAGGTTCTTACATTATTTTAGACACATTAATATTGCCAGTTAGTCAGGCATGTCACACTTTCAAGCCAGAAATAGCACAGAAGTTTTTGGCTGAATTGCAATATGATATATATCTCTGTATTTTTTACATTTGGCCTATGTGCAAAAAGGGTTACTAATTTAAAAAACAAATATAATGCTTCTTAAAGCAGAAGGCAAGGCAAGGCAAGTTTATTTATATAGCACATTTCGTACACAATGGTAATTCAAAGTGTTTTACATAAAAGAAAGTAAAATAATCATAAAAAAAATCACAAGAATAAAACAAGGAATTTAAAAACTTTGAAAATGATTTAAAAATTGATTTAAAACTAATTTAAGACAGTTAAAAATAGAAAATTATTATACATACAATATAGTGCAATCAGTTCGGACATCGCACAGTGCTCATTCAATAAATGCACAGCTAAACAGATGAGTTTTGAGTCTAGATTTAAATGTGACTAATGTTTTTGCACATCTGATTCCTTCTTAAAAAAAGAATTCCTTCTTTGCAACATCTGATTCCTTCTTAAAAAATAAGTTAAATTCACTAATCTATAGGCTAAAGAAAGAAAGAAAGAAAGACTAATTGGATTAGGCTACCCCATTACAACTTAATTAGCAGAGCCAATCCACCCTATACATGCAAGCTGCGTAGGGGCCCCGAAACACCAGAGGGCCTCCTTGCTCTCAAAGATGGCTTCATTTTAGTGTCGTTTTTGAATTTGGCCATCGGTTATGAAAACATGAATGATCATTTCTTTTAATGCACCGCCCTGTCTACGTAAAAATCAATCAAATCATGTAATGTGAATGTCGTACAGTCTTGCTCGAGACTAAAAAAACAAGTTGAAAGCGTACCGAGTCACAGAAGAGACACTGTTTCTCAAGCGCTTTCCGTGAGCGCGATTCGAGACGGAGTGAAACACGGACAAATGCATTTCATTCATTCGTTCATAACCACTCATTCCACATTGGATTATGCACTTTCCCCGCAGCAGCTAACTCTGTCTTCCGCTATTTCTCATTCAGATGTGCTCATTTCCAACTACTGTATGCATATATATTGATATGAAAGGTCATATCAAGGTCACCTTCATATCATATCGTTAGTAAAAAATATATATCGATATATCGTACAAACGCGATTTACCGCCCAGCCCTAAAGATGATGAAGAATATTCAGTTCTGACACTTATTTTTATACATGGTTTCACAGGTAAATGTTTTGCGTTAACTTCACATCATTTGCTAACGACTTGCTTTCCCCTCACTGATCTCTATATTATAAATTATAAATACATGATATTTATAGCCTATTATAGGTCACTGTTTCAGCCATGTTTCAAAGCAATGTCACAACTCATAGCATCTGGAATTCAGAGACAAACAACAAGCAGGGCAGTGCAAAAAAACGGTATCGAGATGCGTTTTTAAGTTGACAGCATCCTAAAACAGTGCTCATGCACAAGACACGGCAAACGATGAAAAACAAAACAAATGAAACAAGTCAATGACATGTTTACATATAAAAACAAAGCTGCGCAAAAACATTAGTGCAGTAGAATGTGGGGTTTAAGTGAATAAAGAAAAAGCGTGCTGTATGTTGAAGTGACAGGAGAACAAGTTCACTTTCACCATTCATTTGCTATAATTTACCGATTTTAATTTTGTTTTAGTACACTATTATTGGATGCAACATGTTTGTGTATATAAGATAAAAATAAACAATTACAAAATAATACTTTGGGGCCCATCAGTGTCTTGGAGGGCCCTTATGCCCGTCATACTCTTCCCTCCCATAACGGTGCCTCTTCTTGTAACATTTCTTTCTGCTGCCATATCTAGACTTTCAAAACTGAAGAACAAAATTTAAAATGGCCTAGTAGCCATTTTTTATATTGATTACTTTTGTGTCCAGAGATTAACACACCTGTCAAAGTAATATGTAGAATACGCACAGGAAAGAGGTTTCTTCTTTAAAAGTGCCATAGGTGGGATACTAGTTAATGGCTGTTATTTATTTGCTGGAATGACAGGTTTACAGTGGAACTCCTCCTAAAGTCATTACGGTGCCATGGGGAGGTGTTTTGTATGGTTGGCTAATGTCCCCACGCACCGATGCATTACTCAGCGGTGGTATATATTGACTTTGTTAGTTACGAGTTGTGTACAAATAACCTTTAGAGGTCCCTAAATAATAAGGGGAAAGAAAAAAAGAGAAATTGAGGTTTTGCTCTAATCACTCGGAATATGTAACAAATCAGAGATTCTAAAAAGATCTGACAGTATGGTTTAAACAGAATAATTGTATGCAGTAGTATCTGCAGTGAGGCTTTTTCCCTATACAGACAAAAGGTCAACTTTAAAAAGTTAGCCTTTAGGTGAGAATGTTCAAATTTACAAAGGTAAAAACAAACACATTTGCATAGTTTATTTGACAAGCAGCATGTGCTTAATCTTGTACAGCACTTTTACAGACTACTGAAAGACTGCACTGTATGGATTATTAATCAATTGGTTCTAAAGTTTTGAATTGGCAAAATGATAATACTATTCACATTACTTGTGCAGCTAAATGCCTTTGTTGCAAAAATGGAAAGAACATTTCTAAATAGGTTTTGCATTTGCAATTACAGTCTGATATATTCATCTCAAGAAGATCAAGCTTTAGTACCTGTACAATTCTGATATTTATTTGTTACATTTGTATGACATAAACTGTCACTGTGAAAAGGCCAACTTGACTAAGACTAAATCTCCCGTTTAATTATCTTAAAGTCAACATGAAATCAAAATTGCCGTACTTATTCAAAAATGCGTAGATACAAATGTACCGACAATGAATTTTCCATATCTAGTTGGAGCTGTGGTCTAGCAGTTATGTACATAAACACACCATTGTGAATATTAGATATCATGATGCCAATAAAATGGATGGAAACGGTTTAAAACAAGAAAAAACACAAAAGCTGATGTATGAACATTTACTACATATAACACCTGATACACCCGTCTACATACAACAATTATACAAAACATGCTCTATGTACATAAAAATGATTCCTTAAAAATATCAACAATAAATAAGGTCTATGCATTGGAAGAAACAAAACACAAAGAATAGCAAGTGTTCTCATGCGCAGTGAAATCTGTTTTTCAATAGAATAAGCCATTAAAAAAGCAAATACACATTGAATTCTTGTCACTTTAACTCAAGTACATATTAACAGCTACTGGTCTGTAGTTGTTTCTTTTATAACAATTATGGCTTGAATTTGAATTGAGATTTTTTTAGTGTGACTGAAATGACAGCAGGCCTGAATTTATGCAATTTGCAAAAATATAGCCTGCCTATGTATGACCAAAAAGTGTTGATAGTGTAACCGACAACATGTGTGAACAAAGCCTTTAGGTCAACACGGCAAAAAATGACCCAAAGTATCAAGAAATATTTTTGAATGCCAGTTTGTAATCTTTTTTTTAGACGTTTGCTGCACATGTGACATTATAGGCAATGGTTCATGAGCACCAATGAATCTGAACTATTTCAGAAGAGTAAAGCAGGACGCATATTACAAATTATCCTCCATATGCACATGTGAAACCAGTTTCCAAATGTGAGAGATTGAATTTGAAAGGTGACAATCTGATTCCTTACTCTAACACGTACACATGCATACATAACCCTGACTCATATAGTAGGCGGCGAATGCTTTTATAAACCAAATCATCGTTCATCTACTGAAAGAAAGGGTCAGTATTTTTGCATCCTGATGTGAACTGGCATGGACAGTTGGAGAAAAATTCATTGTGCAGCAATGTGGGTGGGGGACTTTTGTATGTGTGTGACTAAACGTGTGCTGAAGCTGCCTAACCTGATTCTGTCATTGCAGGCTCCAGGCTATAAAGCAAAATACAGCCACTCAGACAAGCCCCATCTCCCACACAGACCAAAGTGTGTGCTATGAAGTCTGGAGAATGTCACAGAAGGCCAAAAGTTTGATTAAAGATTAAAGAAAGAATCCAAAAACAAGGAGTGGGATCAGATCCTGGCCCAAATCTCAAATTGAAAATCCAAGTCCAAATGTTTTGTTTCAACACCAACCAAAGCTTGTTTGTTCATTTCAGAGATACACAATATTCTCCTCTCCATCAGTATCTCTGTTCTCTGTCTCCATGGTAACAAAAGGCTGGTTGACGAGCAGGACGTTGGCTTGATGAAGCCCTGCCTCTGTTACTCCGGCTGACCAAGATTCTTGGACATGACTGAGCTGACCCACATCTGTGAAGACAAGATCGGATGTTATTATTTATTGCGTCATCAATAGACACCATACTTGCATTATTCATCCTTTTCTTCATGTTGATCCATCATTTTCTTTCTTCAGTGAAACACAATGTTTTGCATACAACTGAGGATTTTGGATGGTGGATGATATTTTATAATGCAAAGCTCCGCAAAGGACAAAACAAGTACCATTAAAGTCTCACAGAAGTGGTTTTGTGTGATACATTCCAAGTCTTCTACTAGCTTTGTGAAATTTAAGTCATTATTCACTGATAAAGACAATTTTGAGACCATCTATTTTTCATTGTATGTAGAGCAGAAGCTCCTTTTGTGCTTGACCAAAGGAAATTGAGCAATATTTGAGCAAACTATTATGTTCATTTTCATGTTACTACATTCATGTAAAAAAATCTAATCCACACAAGGGGTCCAGCTCAAATGCGATCACATGTCATTTACATTCATGTGATGTTGTGAATGAAGCTGATGAATCCCTCTCATTTAATTACCTGCTTCTCAACTACGACCCAATTTCGTTATCTCCATTCCGAATGTTTGTGTATGTCAGGTAATGTTGTTAGCTGAGCACTGTTTGAACAGTGAAGGTCAAACGGTGACTATTGTGAGGCTGTAGTCTTGACCTCTGACTGAAAAGTTAAACAAAGCAGTGCTTGTTGATTTAACCAGCACTTCAATTAAGGTCTTCATATATAGGACAGGTAACATTCAAATGTATGCACTTCGATTAAAAAAACAAATGTTCAGTTTGAAGGTACAGCAGACTGTGAGGAGATCTTTCAGTTTGTTGAGTGAATGATGACCATTGTGGACACAAAAATGTATTTAATTTAGTGCTGTCAAAATGAACGCGAACATGTTTACGACCACATCAAACAGGAGACTTTTCAGATGCGCACTCCAACTTCGCCTCAGCGCCAGGTGCTATTCAAGCAAGTGCAGAAAAGGTACAGGTGACGAGGGAGCTTCAGTAGAACAACAGTGAACTGCAATCAGATGAGATGTTGTCAGGCCATATGTCAGTAAAAACTAATTTTCCTGTCCTGTCAGCCATTATACTGTGCTGGTAGCTGCACACACAAAAGCGGCGCCGCGTGCTGTAGCCTATACCATTTCATATTAAAGTGCAAAAGAAACAACGAGCATGCAATGTCATAGTAATGTCATCAGTTAAGTCATGAAGTTACCAAAAAGGCGATTCAAGCTGCCTTAAAACCGTGATGTATGTAAGTATTTGTTATAAATGAGTCAGATTTAAGAACTGTGATGTCTCTGAAATGCAGTGGCTTTCAAAACTGTCCTGGAGCAGCCCAGCACTGTCTCCCTCATCTAACACCCGATTCAACTCATCAGCTCATTAGTCGAGACTTTAAGACCTGAAGTGAGTCAGAAAAGATAGAGAGTTGTGAGAAAATACGATGCGTGTCAAATCCAAAATTAAGCAGCCAAATTAACCTAATAACCCAGCTGCTGTGATGTCTGTTAATCAAAGAACAAAAGAAAAAAAGAGGAAATCAATAGCTTTTGTAGCTTTAAGGATTCATCTATATTTCATTTAGAATTTAGTGTTTGATAACTTTATTCAATTTCTGTATATTTCCTACTGGCTGAAGGGCACAGGTAGCTAAATTATAATGGGCTTATGTGAAGTTTGTTTTAGGCTTGCCACGATAGACAGTGCTGACGGTGATGCCGCAACACCGGTTACGTCACTTGCCCACCGCGGCACCGACCCCCACCATCGTTTAGATTTTTTATAGTAATAAAAATTATTTAGTTCAGTAAAAGAACAGACTCTACAATTAAAAACTAAACGCTCAATGCAGCGTGCCGTACGACAGTCGCATCACAGATCGGATTTCATTTCTCCAGTTAGGAGAGTGAGTCCTGCTGACTGACGAGAAGAGTGAAGCGAGACAGACGAGAAGAGTGAGGCGAGACAGACGACAGACGAGAAGAGTGAGGTGAGACAGACGACAGACGAGAAGGGTGAGGTGAGACAGACGAGAAGGGTGAGGTGAGACAGACGAGAAGAGTGAGGTGAGACAGACGACAGACGATCGATTAAAAAAACAAATGTTCAGTTTGAAGGTACAGCAGACTGTGAGGAGATCTTTCAGTTTGTTGAGTGAATGATGACCATTGTGGACACAAAAATGTATTTAATTTAGTGCTGTCAAAATGAACGCGAACATGTTTACGACCACATCAAACAGGAGACTTTTCAGATGCGCACTCCAACTTCGCCTCAGCGCCAGGTGCTATTCAAGCAAGTGCAGAAAAGGTACAGGTGACGAGGGAGCTTCAGTAGAACAACAGTGAACTGCAATCAGATGAGATGTTGTCAGGCCATATGTCAGTAAAAACTAATTTTCCTGTCCTGTCAGCCATTATACTGTGCTGGTAGCTGCACACACAAAAGCGGCGCCGCGTGCTGTAGCCTATACCATTTCATATTAAAGTGCAAAAGAAACAACGAGCATGCAATGTCATAGTAATGTCATCAGTTAAGTCATGAAGTTACCAAAAAGGCGATTCAAGCTGCCTTAAAACCGTGATGTATGTAAGTATTTGTTATAAATGAGTCAGATTTAAGAACTGTGATGTCTCTGAAATGCAGTGGCTTTCAAAACTGTCCTGGAGCAGCCCAGCACTGTCTCCCTCATCTAACACCCGATTCAACTCATCAGCTCATTAGTCGAGACTTTAAGACCTGAAGTGAGTCAGAAAAGATAGAGAGTTGTGAGAAAATACGATGCGTGTCAAATCCAAAATTAAGCAGCCAAATTAACCTAATAACCCAGCTGCTGTGATGTCTGTTAATCACAGAACAAAAGAAAAAAAGAGGAAATCAATAGCTTTTGTAGCTTTAAGGATTCATCTATATTTCATTTAGAATTTAGTGTTTGATAACTTTATTCAATTTCTGTATATTTCCTACTGCACAGGTAGCTACATATGACATTTACTATAATGGGTTTATGTGAAGTTTTAAGTTCATTTAAATTAGAAGTTGTTATTTTTTTAAGTCTAATAATGTTAAAATTGATAGCTCTCAATTATACTGTAATGTTGAATGGCTATAGTCAATGGTTAAATATTATTAGGGAAAAAACTATTTTATAGAGATATCAGTAGTATTGGTATCAGTTATACTTGCCTTCAGTCATATATATTACAAATATTAAAAATATACTGTCTTTATGTTGTTTCTACATTAATTTGAAGATAGGATGTGAAATTATTGCAATAAAAAAATTTATTTAAAAACTTTAATGTTAGGTGGGATTAATCGCGATTAATTTCAGGGAGAAAAAATGTGTGATTAGTTTTTTTATAATTATTAATTGACAGCACTAATTTAATTATGACCTTCACCTGTGTTTAGCTCTACAGAAGGTCTACTCCTTTGTTCACGTATCGGTTTAAGCATGTGCGTGTGTCATTAGCATAATCTTTTTTGGCCCTAGACATTTTAGGATTTAATTCAATTAATTATTATTGTTTTTGAAAAAAAATCTCTTTTGGTCACCAGGGCTCCATTTATTTGGTCAAAAATACATTTAAAACCATAATATTGTGAAATAATATTACAAATTAATATAACTTGTTTCCAATTTCAATATATTCTAAAATGTAATTTATTCCTGTGACGGCAAAGCTGAATTTTCAGCAGCCACTAGTCCAGTCTTTAGTGTCACATGATCCTTCAGATATTATTCTAATATTCTGATTTGCTGCTCAAGAAACATTTATTATTATTATTATTATTATCAATGTTGGCAAAGGTTGTGCTGCTTAATATGTTGATGAAACTGTAAAACATTTTCTTTTCAGGATTCTTTGATTAGTAGAATGTTCAAAAGATTTCTTTGAAATACACATTTCTATAACATTATTAATGTATTTGCTGTCACTTTTGATCAAGTATAAAGAATACATTTAGTATAAATAAATAAATACATAAAATTTAGAAACATGTAACTACCAGCACATGCTATAACTAAGCCATGCTAAACAGCCCTTAAGTGCAGTGTTATGGAGTTTTCTTGTAGAAAGCAGGGGATTCTAGGTAAACAAATGTAGTAAATGTGCATTGTGGGTATATATGGTAAATAAAACCCTATAGATGATGAGATTAGTTAGGAAGTGGGACCCTAATCTAGCTAAACATGCACCCTTGTGCACGCTCTGTCAATAATGAGAGAGAGTTAATGAGGCAATCAATATAAACACAGGATAGAACCTTTAAAGCAAGTAAATAACAAGATGTGCTATTTACAGTAATATCCACCTGTAAAAACTTGCATTTCATTTCAGTGTTCAACAAGTACCTTCTGACATTACAGCGATAAAGTGCATGTGTGAGAGAGACCATTCATAATGTTAAACAGACAACTCGGACAGCTCATGTGTAAAAAACAGACGAATAAGTTTCTGTCCCTCTCATCCCCCTCCCCTCCCTCGTAAGATGACAGGCCACTCTGTAATGAGTTTGGTAAAGATTTTTTAGATCAATGTTCCAATCAGTCTCCCGTAGCTGGAGGCCCTTGATTCACACGCCACTGTCTCCCCCGACAGTCAATAGACAGAGGTGTAATTGATCGCTGAGACAGATGTGTATCTGTGTGTGATAGAGTGAGGATGAATCTTTGTTATTAAACACAGATTAACAACACAAAAAGAGCAAATCGACCTTCACTGCTGCAACACAAGATTTAGTAACGATTCGCAAGTTGATGCGATGAAATCAAATCTTTCTTTTGCTTCTATGGCATAGTTAAGGGCCAAAGATATATAAAAAAAGTCCAGCTTGACTTTCTGCTATGTTGTTAACTATGGGGCACCTATAAAATAGCAGAAATGTTCCAATCATTCTCTAATTCTGCAACACCTTTTATATTGAGGTATATCCGTGACATGATTTTAAATCAGAAAACTATAGCACATACTCCAAAGTGTGTTGCACTTTGGAAACTTCTTGCATGAAGAGCTTGGTTGATTATAATGGTAGCAATTTGTTTGGATGTGTCACCATGTGCCTGGTGCAGTTAACTATAGGTTGTTTACAGTTGCCTATTAATGTCAAAACAGGTATTTCAACAGGCTCATCCAATTATTTGTAATGTATGACTTTTTGGAGTGTGGTTTTTAACTCAAGTGTTACGTCATGAGGCTATATTCACATTGAGCCAGACTTCATCAGTTTATATTCTTACCCTTTGGTTTGAGTCATAAAATATTATGAAAATATTACTGAAAATATATTATGGTTTACACAAAAATATTAAGCAGCACAACTGTTTTCAACACTGATAATAACAATAAATGTTTCTTCAGCAGCAAATCAGCATATTAGAAGGATTTCTGAAGTATCCTGTGACACAGTAATGATGCTGAAAATTCAGCTTTGCCATCACAGGAATAAATTACATTTTAAAATATATTAATATAGGAAACACAATATTAAGATTTTTTTTATCTTTTTGATCAAATAAATGCATATAATTATTATTTTTAGGAGTGAGGAAAGTGCAGCATAAATGAAAAATAAATAAAAACTACTCGCTCTGAGACATAAGACTCTTATATCAATTAGTGATTGCAGTAAAAACATTACCATTGTTTGGGATATCTGTTAGACTTCTCAGAGGGGTCGAGTACATTGTTCCTCCAGTCCAGCTCTCATGCCCTGCAGGACCATCGGATATTCCAGCAGAGCTCTGTCTGTGGTTGGATCGTGCCAGGAGTGAATTGAGACTGTTCTGAGCACTGGGAGAATCCGAGTATCCTATAGATCCTGAGTGCAGGTGAACAGCCTCGTTCACAAAAATGGATCCATGCGCATCCTGACCACCCAGGTGATGGTGACCAGCGTCCTGAAAGACAGACATGCACATCACTCACATATAACTACAATATATACAAAACATCTTATCTATAAACAATGCAATCATGGTACATACTGTTGCACCTCATTCAAATGATATAATAAAAGTGATGCCCAGATGGAAGAAAGGTGTGTTTAGCACCTTGTGTGTTTTCTGTGAAGCTTTGCACCTTCAGATTATGTGTAATGACACACAACTTTACCCCACCTTTTAAAGTCATGATGTAGAACATGTGAGACCCTGGACCACAAAACCAGTCTTAAATCGCTGGGGGATATTTGTAGCAATAGCCAAAAATACATTGTATGGATCAAAATTACTGATTTTTCTTTTATGCCAAAAATCATTAGGATATTAAGTAAAGATCATGTAAATATATTAAAACTTAATTTTTGATTTGTAATATGCATTGCTAAGAACTTCATTTGGACAACTTTAAAGGCGATTTTCTTAATATTTTACACCCTCAGATTCTAGATTTTCAAATAGTCGTATCTCTCCCAAATATTGTCCTATCCTAACAAACCATACATCAATGTATAAATCTCAATTTCTAAAAATGGACCCTTATGACTGGTTTTGTGGTCCAGGGTCACATATAGAAGTAGTAAACTTGCATAAGCTGTTTAATCCTGAGAGTTAGTTTGAAAAACAATAACAAATAAAATCAACAAAGAGAATATGTTGGGGGAAAAAATAGCAAAAGTATAGAAAGAGGCCTCTTTTTTTAATGTATCTAAAATTAAATTATAATGCAATCAGGGAACATAAAAGTAAAAAAAAAAAGCTCTCTGCCATTTTAGTCAGCCATGATATTAAATTAAGTTTTAATTTCCATCTTACCTCTATTAGCACCAACTGTATTATTTTAATAACCTCCACATGAGGCCTTTCTTTTTTTCTCATAGTTTTGTTTTGTGTACTTCATTTGATCACATTTAGAAACAACTGCGTCACCTTAGAATATTGACAGCAGAGCCTACAGTATGATATGGTATACAGTACCTCTTCACCTCTCTTCCTGCGCTTTTCCTCATTCATTAAGCTGGCTGCATGTGAACAAACGCCAGACTCAATCATTGACCCACAAGCTCAAAATCACCATTCTGTGCTAATCAGCCCTCACAAGCAATACAATGAATAAAATCTGGGCCTGAGGCGGATCTATTTTATATGGTTCATGTGTGTGGGAGAGTCTTAAAGGCAGACACAGAAATATACTCCCCAAAAGGTCACATCTTAGATGGTGGATACACACTCTCAAGCTATTTAAAGTCATGATTTCATGAATGTCATTCTGAGGGGGAATTCATGCAATAGTGATAACAATAAGAGGCTTTGGAAAAGGATTTTACCTCTCAGACTGATGCTGTGTTCACAAGATGTCTAAATGCAGAGTACTGCTAGAACCAGCCTCCATACAGCACTGTAAATGAAAGCATCCTGATACAAATGTTTCTCACAAACATCAGTAAGACGACATTGTGATGTTTTTTTTATGTACATAAGAAGTCTCTTATGCACACCAAAGCTGCATGTATTTGATCAAAAATACAATAAAAGAACATCATTAATTTTAAATAGAACTCTTTTGTAACATTAAAAATAACTTTAACTTTCAATCAATTTAATGCATCCTTGCTGAATTTAAAAAAAAAAGAATCTTACAGTGAAAAAGCATATTGGCCTCCACCTCTGTATTTTTCATTATCAATTAATAAAAGTAAATAAAACTAGGAAACTGCAGAACTTCTCATTTATATAAGTGAGTCAAACACTAAATAGACCAAATGTATTGTTTTGTAGACTTGATCAGACTTTATGAGTTGTGCAACACAATATTACAGCCATGTAGCACTTTGTTACACTACTACTTGTTGAAAAAAATCAAATAAAAATAGCTTGCTACTGTAAAAACTACACTGTTTCGAAAAACCCTTGAACTACTGTCACACCAGTGAACAATGTAGTTTAGTGAACAAAGTAGTTTTAGTTACTCCCCAGTGCTGTGTTTTTGTATCTAGTGAAGACACTCCAGAGCAGAGAGCCATCAGATGGACACTACTGCCCTACATCTCGCCCTTGCACTTGTCAACTTTCTGATCATTCTGATCAAACTACACGAACAAATGAAACATCACTTCCCTGACCTGCAGAATGAAGCACACAGAGCTGTTTTTAATTATGTTGCCTTGGTAGGGGCTTTTCTATTATCATTAATCTTTAGCTTGTTTATTAGCACACAGTAAAAAGGGCTGGAGCTAAGACTGCCTCACACGGCCAAAGACTGATGAGGCATGAATTGCTCTCATTATCCCAGGTAATGAATCAGAGGCTTAGCTGTGTGTGAACAACAGACGTTTGACCGCAACTGAATCCTCCCTGTGTACAAGAGGTCGAAGGAAAGAAATGCTTTCTTCCTAAGTGGCCTGCCACACCTGATTTGACTCTGCCTGATAAAACAACATTGGCTTTGGACCTTATAAATTCCATTGAGTTTGGGTTTCTACCGTAGTCTTATTTATTTGTAAAGGCATGTTTGGGAGGACTGGTAACTGAATTTAATCCAATAATCCAAAATACTGTTCAACTCAAAGACAAGAAGAGAGAAAGAGAGAAATATGCATGCTAAGAAACAATAAGAACAACCTGAAGAAATAGGGATGCTCATTACCACTCATTTTTATTTAGATTTTATTTTAAAGAACGTAATACTTTCATTCAGCAAGGATACATTAAATGGATCAAACATGACACTAAAAAAAAGTCACAAAACATTTATGTGAAAATGCTTTCTACTCTTAAGAATCTTGAAAAAAGTATTACCGTTTCCACTAAAATATTAAGCAGCACAACTGCTTTCAGCATTGATAATAATAAGAAATGTCTCTTGAACACCAAATCAGCATTTGAATGATTTTTGAAGGATCATGTGACACTGAAGACTGGAGTAATGATGCTGAAAATTCAGCTTTGATAGCACAACAACAAAAATATTAAAATTGAAAACAATTGAAATTCTAATAATATTTCACAATGTAACTGTTTTACTGTATTGTTGATCAAATAAATGCAGCCTTGGTGAGAATAAAAAAATAATAAAAAAAGCTTCTTTCAAAAACATTTTTAAAAATCTTGCTGCCCCCAGATTTTTGAATAGTAGTGTATATAATATTAAAATTTTCTCTGGGTGGACAGATCAATGCTTCAACAATGATCTGTCCATCCAGAGAGAAGAGAGACAAAAGAGTGAGAAAGAGAGAAAGAAAGTATACAAAACAGGTGAAATATGTGAGGAACAGAGAAAAGAACAACAAAATGAGACAGAAAGGAATTACAAGACAAAAAAAGCAAATGGGATCAAGAAAAACAGAAAATATATAGCTTCTCTTTTTTGAATTCCTAACTGACAGTTTTGTTCCATCTTCAAAGTCAAATGAGAGCGGATTTGGGAGAGCTTTCCTCTGACATCACTATCTGGGTGTTTTGGCAACAGAGTAAAGGAGGGATGAGGAAAGAGCAGAGGAGCAAAGAAATATTTCAGCGTTTAGAAGACAGCTGCGTCTCCAGACTCACGCTGTGCACGAAGGCTTTTATGAAATACCCACAGCTCACAGCTATAGCTTTTAGGAATATTTCAAACATACACAAACATATACGGAGAACATGCATATATACGCATATGAACAAACAGGAAGAAACTACAAAGTCCCAAAAGCAAAACAAAAGCACCCTTGGTGCCACTAGTGGCAGTCCATCACAGGAGGCAAGACAGCCAGTTTCCTCACAAATTATTCTAAATAAACTGATTAAAACTACTTTTAATCAATCTCTAACTAATGTGTATAACTCAAACGCATAAAGATGTATTTTTAAATAGATTCTTCTTTCATGTGGTAGTCTAAGCAAGTTCAAATCATTGTACGAGAGCCAGAGAAGGCTGACAGCCAAAAGTCTTCTCTGCTGAACTGACCAATCAGAATATGAATGTGCAAATTACAACAAATTTCTTTCAGAAATGTGGCTTAAAAGGCAGAAGGAGAACTAAATTTGGCTCCTTACAGATAAATGAGCAATCTTAACTAATGCATTCATTAGAGGTTGCTTCTAAAAAACATAGAATGCACTGCATGATTTAATCCATTCATATGAAGTTGGCTGGTGTTCAAAAAATTATCATTGTTAAAGATATAGTACACAATAAAGGAATCTTTGTTTCAGTTTTAATTGGAAATGAACAAAATACTATTATTCAGCCAGGAAATACAAAAATCTGTTCAAAATCACACTCTTGTCCTACCCCGAGTCATTACGGCCTACAAAAACGGTTGATATTCTGAGCTATCGGGTTCAGTTCAAGTTTGTCATTCCACCTTCATTTTCACAGGTAAATACAAGCAAACCTCAAACCATTAGATTCATTTTCTCATAAGTGAAGTTCCAAAGGTCAACTGACATAAAAAAAAAAAAAATGTTCCTTAGCAAGTAACATGAAAATTGTAATTGCTTGGATTGTTTTTTGCTAATGTGCTTAAGTCTGATGTCACAGACCACCGTTTCCAGATTCAAAAACTCTATGAGAACCTAAAAGCAAACAACAAACTGTTAATTTACACTCATGGTGTATATCATGATCCTAACCTTTATCTTAATAGCGACATCTCAGTTGACAAGAGAAAATCTTAGCTATGTGTGCAATAAATAAATAGTGCTCATAACCGGCTGTTGAGATTCTCAAATTTAACAAGCGGATTGCTTTGATTGTTTCGTGTGAGAGACAGGTTGCAGGAGGGGAGAGATTGAAATCTGTCTGGCCATTGGACAACCTTTTTTTTTTTTTTAATAATGGTGTATAATGATAAATCATTTATAATGAACATGGCAATATTCCATAAAAAGAAAGAATCCCATGATCATCACCTGTGTCTGCTGTCCATCCAGTGGTATCACCATAGCTGGCAGGTTCTGCTGGTAGCCCTGCCTCAAACTCTCCAGCTGAGCATCCAGCTTCTCCTTCTCCTTTTCCACACTTCTCTGGCCTTCTCGCAGCCTCTCCAGGCTTTGCTGGTACTCCTGCAACTGCTCTTGAAGCTCCTGCTGCTCACACTGCAGTCTCCGCTCCTCTAGGTGGCACACCACCTCCCTCTGCTCCAGTGATGCCTCCAGCTCCGACTGCTGAAGCTGCCGCATCTGGCACTCCCTTTCCCACTGCTGTCGCTCTCGTACCAGGGTGCCCCGTAGACGGGCCACGTCCACCAGCTCCTCTCGCCGGCGCTCCACTTCCCGCTGACGCTCCTGCTCCTGCAGGGTCTGGTTGCTGCGAGTGATGGGCGGTGGGCGGGAGTGTGGGTGAGGGGAGGGGCTTGATAACAGGAAGAGGAGGAGCCTCTGGACTTCATAGCAACTGTCTTGGATGGTGACTGCGGCCTATTCACAAAAAGCGAGGGTGTTTTAAGTAAAGGAGATCAATGGAAAGATATCTTTAATTACTGTTAACAATGGCTCTTGTTCACTGAAATAGCTAAAATGTGTTTAGTGTCTTGACTAAACAATGACTAGGCAACTACCCTCATCTTCAATTCATCATCAGCCACTCACATAGTACTGTTCAAAAGTTTGGGATCAGTAAGATTTTAATAATTTGATTCTGCAATGTTGCATTAAATTAAACCAAAGAGAGAATAAACACATTCATAATGTTAAAAAATATTTCTATTTCAAATAAATGCTGTTTATTGAAGAATCCTGAATGAAAATGATTATGACCATTTCCCTGAAAATATTAAGCAGCACAACTGTTTACAACATTGATAATAATAAGAAATACTTCTTTAACACCAATTCAGCTTTGCATCACAGGAATAGACTATATTTAAAAAAAAAAATAATTTGAAAACAGTTATTTTAAATTGTCATAATATTTCACAATATTACAGAATTTTTGATCAAATTAATGGAGTATAAGAGACTTATTTTAAAAAAATTTAAACAATCATACCAAGCCCAAACTTTTAAACATTAGTGTACACACATATATATATATACAGGGTGGTCCCAACCCAGAGGTTTTGCATGAACTGCGCTCGGCGACCAACTATGCCCTCCGGGCTACGAAGGTCACGGTGCAGGCTCTGGGCAGGGTGCCCCCATTTTACAGATTGGTCTCTTTGGCGACACTGTTGAAGAATTTGCACAGCAGTTCTCCACAGCTAAGAAGCAAATGGAGGCTATTAAACACATCCTGCCTTGGTGTGGGTCAGGCCCTGGTCCTGCACCCCTGAAGCAGCAGTCTTCATCTTTTCGTCGCTGGGGATGGCGGCCTGCGAGGACTGCTGAGGCCTCGCAACAGCCCGGGCCGAACAGCTAGCTCATCAGCAGGGCACTAAGAAGGCTTCAAAGCATACCTGAGACAGGCGACCCAGGGAGGAGGGACCATTTGACCAGCCCAGCTCCACTTCCGGTGTAGGGAAGGGGGGTGGATTCAGCTGTCTGCCATTCGGTGGACAGCCACCACATGGTCAATAAAAGAGCAATTTCCTTCTTCCCTGGGTCACAACCACACATCTTTGGCCTTCCCAGATGCCGAGACTAGGTATCAGAGCCTGTTCGTATACATACTCCTTGTCTCCTCATGTTCTGATGCAACAGGTCTGTCATCAAGTCGGTGTGACATGTTGACGAACTCCTGTTCTCTCATTCGTCGGTAGCTCATTTGACAGACCTGGCGGGCAAGGCACTGTGCTCTTCAAAGGATGTTTTACCTCTTCCCAGTGCCTTTTGCTCCACTGAGCCCAGGAACCCTGCCCTAGGTACAACAAACTTAGTTCCTTTGAGACCATTGGCGAGGTGTCTGGAAGACTGGTTAAGCCTCCCCAGCCTTTCCTGCTGGCTTCTCAGAACCATTCGTCTCGGCTATGCGATACAGTTCACCAGGCGTCTGACCGAAGTTCAGTGGCATTCTGTTAACCTCAGTGTGAGGCAAGAATGCTGCTGTTTCATGTAGCTGAGTTTGGCGGAGGAACTCACTGTTATAATCCATTACGAGAAGGTATCCCTCAAAGTGAACTCTCCTAATGGGTTAGTGCTCCACATGTAGTGGCTCCCCTTCATGGCCCCATATGTGTATTACTCCACTGACTTGTCCGTTAGGATTTAGTGTTTCCCCTAGACAGACGCTCGGTTTGTCACTGAGTTCTGTGCTTGGTAGTTCTCCCCTTATGCGGAGCCTACAACAGAATCTTCCCTATGTGGTCCTTCCTTCAGTAAGTCCATAGGTCAATCTTCACATGTTACCTCCCCTTCGGGTAGGATGTGATCTCCGTAGGGTCTCTTTCCCTTCTGGGAAAACAGACACTTTCCCAACGTTACCTACCATGGCTTTCAGCCATCACTTTTTTTTTATTTTTTATAATAAGATGAGAAAAGGCTCAGGCTGAGAGCCTCCTTATTGATGGCTCTCTTGGATGTTGGGGAGTGAGGTCATAAGTCTTGGATGTTGGAAGGTTATGAGGAGAGGTGCATTTGGTTGTGACATGCCGGGCTTGTCAACATCTGTGCCCCGGGCTCTTGTGGTGCAGTTCAGCAGCTGTGGCGTTTAGTGTAGGGACCCCTAGTGTCGGAACTTCGACCCAACGTCAAAGTGACCAACTGAAAGGGAACGTCTCGGTTACATATGGTAACCCTCGTTCCCTGATGGAGGGAATGGAGACGTTGTGTCCCTTATGCCACAACTCTAAACTGCCTCTGAGTGGGTTGAGACGTTTCTCGACTCCTCAGAACAGAATGAGTGATCAAATGCTACGCTGGCCTATTTATATCCGGATGTCTGAGGTGTGGTCAGCTATGTAAATTTTGCTTGCCAATTTCACTGGCCTTTACTCAATGATTTCAGAGGTGTCTGGGCTCCCAAGAGCGACCCCTAGTGTCGGAAATTCAACACAACATCTCTGTTTAATCCATTATGGAATGAGGGTTACCATATGTAACTGAGAAGTTTTGTAACAATAAAATATAAATATCTTTTAAATATTGATAATCTCTTTTCATGACTTGTGCTCATGTCAGCAGCACTAAAAAACCTTATCAGCATGATGTGCTGTGCAGTGCACCGCAAGACGCCATCAAAGCAGAAAATAGATCCAAGAAAATGAAAGCCTAATTCTTCGCTTTTATTTTTAATGAAACGGGACCCTTGAGGCAGTGAAATGGACTCCTCTCATTTCAAGCTCATTAATACTTAGTAACATAAAGAATGAGATGTGTTAGCTGAAGAAGAATGTGAATTATTAATGCAAGGCGACTGTACCTCTCATGCTGAACACAGCCTTTTTGGTAAGGCTGCAATTTAAATCATGGAATGATGTAAAATATTTAATGTTTCTTACCATGTTAGTATATTTCTATTAGTAATCATGCTGTGACATTATACTACCACAATTCATCTTCTAGTAGTAATCCTGTGTGCAAATAATGGCTGTTTAAGTGCTGTTTATGAGAACACATTTACCTTTAGGTGAATATTGTGATCAGCATCTGAGCTGTGATTAAAGGCCTGTGTTTCCAAGCCTTCCTCTCCTCTCCAATCTCCATCCTCTGTCTGGAGGGTGTCAATCAGTGGGCTCTGGTGCTCAAGGAACAGAGGGGAGGAGGGAGAGCAAGGCTTGGGTTGGGTCTGTTCTTCTGGACAAGACAGGATGGCAGCAGTAGAAGCACAGTGAGAGGAGAGAGCTGCTTTCAGGTTCTCCACTAATAAGGAAAGAGAGAGACAGCAGGATATTAATAAAAGTAAAGACTATGTGTATTGTCGTTCATAACATACAAAAACCTAATAGTATTGTTAAAAAGTGCCTCTTGAAGCATATTGGGTCTATAAATATGTGAGTGTGAATTGCCATGAGCATGTACACGTACACTACCGTTTAAAAGTCTGGGGTCGGTAAGATATTTTTAATGTTTTTGAAAGTTCCTTAAGCTCACAAAGGCTGCATTTATTTGATCCAAAATACAGTTAACTAATAGTGATATATTATTACAATTTAAAATAACTGTTTTCTGGGTTAATATATTTTAAAAGTAATTAATTCCTTTGATGGCAAAGCTGAATTTTAAGCAGCATTACTCAAGTTTTCAGTGTCACATGATACTTCAGAAATCATTCTAATATGCTGATTTGGTAGTTAATAAACATTTATTATTATCAATGTTGAAAACAGTTTAATATTTTTGTGGAAACTGCAACATATATTATCTTTACTGTCACATTTGCCCAGTTTAATGAATCCTTGCTGAATAAAAAAATCTGATTGCACGGTTTTGAATGGTTATGTATATATGGATGTGCTTCCCTCAGTGGACTCTCACCCTCTTTAAGAGCAGCGCTGAGCAGTACTCCGGCCTGAGGGATGTCTTCAGTGCTGGGCCGTACCAGCAGTCTGGGCTCTGGTCCTATCTCACATCCTCCTGCCATGATATGATAGATGTGTAGCTTCTCTTCCAGATTTGCACAGATGAGGTGATCGTGGCCACACAAAGACTCTGTGAAAGAAGGAGGTTGGTTGTCATGTTTTTAAAAAAAAAACTATTTTTCTTTAGCTGACACAAATGTGCACAAATAGCTTAAGAAACCACACCTCTCATTGACCACCATTGAAAAGAAACTGTGTAGGCTGATGAAATAAAAGCAACATACAAATCTTATGTATTTCATTATATTATTAGATGTTTTATCAGTAATAGATTATACTGTTGGCACATACATTGACAAGTCTATTTCATAATACTATAAGAGCTCTCCAAAATAGTTAGGGAATGTGAGCATTCTTGAGGTGCCATCAGCCAATCACTTATCAGAATGTCATTTTCTTGCAAATCCACAGTAATTGCCTGCACTATAGAGCAATTTGAGAGGAAAGATGAACGGGGATGCAAAAATGGATAGATATCTTCAGGTTTTATCAATTATATATGCATTTCAGCTATTATAAACTATTATCCTTGGGTTCAGCATATCTGGTTGGTTGTACCTTGTAGCCTGTGGATCTTTTGGACCTTTGCTTCTGTGACTCTCCTTTCCTCTTCTGACTCACTTGTAGTTTCATCCTCCTCTTCAGGGCAACTTAACAAAACAAATGCAACTTAAAATTCGTACAATCACACACACTAATTTGTTTCCCGCTCAGCTGCCCTTATAGATAAGAATCAAGTATGACATGCTCCATTCCTCGTCACTACACACCTCTCCACAGCCTCTCTGATGAGTCTCATCCAAGCATTGCGTTCATCTTTAGAAGCAGCGTGTACCTCATACATCTCAGGCCCAGCTGAAGATGCACTGATCAGAAACATGCCTCTCTCCTCATTGGCCACCTCACGCACGATCAGCTTCTGGAGAGAGATCACTGGAGGCTTCTGGTCCTGAGAAACAAAGTAAGTGAGTAAGACAACATAACTAATTATACACACAGTTACATTAAACATCTCATTTACACAAAAACAAACTATCATTCAAGCCACACTAATAAAAGACTAAATCAAATGTATTCTGTGCATACAGATGATTACACCATTACTCAAATGTGTTGTGTCATTAACTTAAGTCATAATGCCTTTAAAATCTTTTGAATCATGAAAATCTCAAAAATGTCAACGTTGATAATAATTTTAAAAAAATGGTTCTAGAGTAAATCAGGTTATTATAAATATTTCTGAAGGATCATGTGACGCCTGGAGTAATGACTGCAGGGACGTGCAGAGAGTTCCTCGGGAGCAGGGGTTCAAATGTAAAAAAGGGGAATTTATATACGGAGTAATACCAATTTAACAATTAAAAATTATACACACACACACACACACACATTTATAAAAATAAAGTCCTTCATGTGATCTTGAACTGCTTACACTTCATGTACACGGCACTCATTCACCTCTCGATCTCCTCGTTGTTGGATCTACGGCACAGGCAGTGGTCAGGTAAATGTGGAGAGAGCAATTGCGGTGCATCTTTGCCCGTAAAACGCCACCACCTGGCAGGGTTGCCCGAGACTACCGTCCAGGGCCTGTACGCTTTCTTCGTCTCTTGTGGTGAAGACTTATACGGCCTCTGGACAAGCTGCGTCTGCCCTGCATGCCATGGCCATCCTGCAGGTCTACCAGGTCAAGGCGTTGAAAGAACTGCACAAGGGTGGTCCCAACCCAGAGGTTTTGCATGAACTGCGCTCGGCGACCAACTATGACCTATGATGAGCAGGTCTGTCATCAAGTCGGTGTGACATGTTGACGAACTCCTGTTCTCTCATTCGTCGGTAGCTCATTTGACAGACCTGGCGGGCAAGGCACTGTGCGCTTCAAAGGATGTTTTACCTCTTCCCAGTGCCTTTTGCTCCACTGAGCCCAGGAACCCTGCCCTAGGTACAACAAACTTAGTTCCTTTGAGACCATTGGCGAGGTGTCTGGAAGACTGGTTAAGCCTCCCCAGCCTTTCCTGCTGGCTTCTCAGAACCATTCGTCTCGGCTATGCGATACAGTTCACCAGGCGTCTGACCGAAGTTCAGTGGCATTCTGTTAACCTCAGTGTGAGGCAAGAATGCTGCTGTTTCATGTAGCTGAGTTTGGCGGAGGAACTCACGCACAAATTGCATCTTCTCTTGTGCCGTCTCTAGTGACGTGTTAAATGAAGCTGTTTTAGCCCTAAAAACCTGAGGAACTTTTTTTTTAGACATGGTTCCCTGTGGTATATCTAATGGATTTTTAGCATAGCAGTTTTACATTTTGAGTAAAATAAGGTCTGTGGTTAACATTATTTGAAGACCTTGAAGAATTACTTTCACGTTTTGTTATATAACACTAATTGCAGTCGTAACTCAAACCCATGTTGCTAAAAATAGAAGTTTCTAACAAATTGCTAAATAAAGACTACAATGCTGTCTTGCATAGGTAAAAGACAGTAACTAAATAATCTGTGAAAACTGAATAATAATTCAAATCGAGTCTCTTAGACTATGATCTGTCCTGTGACAAATGGGTTTGGCTCAACTATGTTCAGGTTCAGATTCATGCTCAGAGAAAGCTGACTGAAAACATAAACATATATTATATATAAAAAAATCACTTTTGATCAATTTAATTAATTAATCTTTTATAAAAACCTGAGCCCAAACATTTGAACAGTAGTGAACTGTATTAGCGGCAGTCCTTGTGTAGCAATTGTCTATCACCTGTTTTTAAAGCACACAACAGCAACAAATTCACATTTGATGTAAATTGTAACTGTGTAAATTATGCTATAGAACAAAATGTCAGTTTTATTTTACTCATAAATCAAAAACAGCTATTCTAAAAACCCATTAGATATTCCAGAGGGAACCAGTGAATTAGCCTTCCAGGGACATGCCGGGCTTGTCAACATCTGTGCCCCGGGCTCTTGTGGTGCAGTTCAGCAGCTGTGGCGTTTAGTGTAGGGACCCCTAGTGTCGGAACTTCAACCCAACGTCACAGTGACCAACTGAAAGGGAACGTCTCGGTTACATATGGTAACCCTCGTTCCCTGATGGAGGGAATGGAGACGTTGTGTCCCTTATGCCACAACTCTAAACTGCCTCTGAGTGGGTTGAGACATTTCTCGACTCCTCAGAACAGAATGAGTGATCAAATGCTACGCTGGCCTATTTATATCCGGATGTCTGAGGTGTGGTCAGCTATGTAAATTTTGCTTGCCAAATTTAATTAATTAATCTTTTATAAAAACCTGAGCCCAAACATTTGAACAGTAGTGAACTGTATTAGCGGCAGTCCTTGTGTAGCAATTGTCTATCACCTGTTTTTAAAGCACACAACAGCAACAAATTCACATTTGATGTAAATTGTAACTGTGTAAATTATGCTATAGAACAAAATGTCAGTTTTATTTTACTCATAAATCAAAAACAGCTATTCTAAAAACCCATTAGATATTCCAGAGGGAACCAGTGAATTAGCCTTCCAGGTTGTCCGGCAAATTGACATCATGACTGAACAGCTCTATTATGCTTCCCTACTCACAAACAAACAGTAAAAATACATCTAAATTTATCCCTTTGACAAGGACATCTATAGTAGCTTGGACATACCAATGTTTTTTTTTATAGTGATTCAAAGAGAAGGCCAATCTCTTCTAAGAGCCTTTTGCAGGTGTGTCACTTATTTCTACATCCCAGATCACCTGCATTACAACACCTCCCATTATATGTCCAAACCATAGAATTGTTATATAAGAGAGTTTTATAGTTGGTCAAACACGTTTAGGCAATGAAACTTAAGGCTTGGACAGAGCTATTACAAGTGAGTCATGTTGTGGGTTTATGTGTGTCTGACGTAAGGCCTGTCCACTATAATTATTCTTTCAGTTGGTTTGTGGTTGTGTGACATTAGCTCACCTGTAGACTATACAGCAGCTGAGTCAAGCTCTGCACACTCTGACTCACCTGCATTAAGACAACAAACAAACAATGAGCAACAGAAAGTGAAGAACTCTAAATCAAAACTATGAGCCTACTCTGACTAATGTCTCTTCTTCCTGGAAAGAGAACAGTATACCTGTGTGGACTATAGCAGTATGTTCTGTTCTATTGCAAACAACAGTGCAATATATTTCATTTACATTTTTTGGCAGACATCTGCTTCCTGTAGCACATTTTACAAAACTGCATGTGTTGTGTTTACTTCAGCAGGTTCCTAAGGATGATTCAAAAACTTCAGCATCTGTTGACTCAAACACCATTTGGTTCTTTATCTACAAAAGCTCATTAATACTTAGTAACATAAAGAATGAGATGTGTTAGCTGAAGAAGAATGTGAATTATTAATGCAAGGCGACTGTACCTCTCATGCTGAACACAGCCTTTTTGGTAAGGCTGCAATTTAAATCATGGAATGATGTAAAATATTTAATGTTTCTTACCATGTTAGTATATTTCTATTAGTAATCATGCTGTGACATTATACTACCACAATTCATCTTCTAGTAGTAATCCTGTGTGCAAATAATGGCTGTTTAAGTGCTGTTTATGAGAACACATTTACCTTTAGGTGAATATTGTGATCAGCATCTGAGCTGTGATTAAAGGCCTGTGTTTCCAAGCCTTCCTCTCCTCTCCAATCTCCATCCTCTGTCTGGAGGGTGTCAATCAGTGGGCTCTGGTGCTCAAGGAACAGAGGGGAGGAGGGAGAGCAAGGCTTGGGTTGGGTCTGTTCTTCTGGACAAGACAGGATGGCAGCAGTAGAAGCACAGTGAGAGGAGAGAGCTGCTTTCAGGTTCTCCACTAATAAGGAAAGAGAGAGACAGCAGGATATTAATAAAAGTAAAGACTATGTGTATTGTCGTTCATAACATACAAAAACCTAATAGTATTGTTAAAAAGTGCCTCTTGAAGCATATTGGGTCTATAAATATGTGAGTGTGAATTGCCATGAGCATGTACACGTACACTACCGTTTAAAAGTCTGGGGTCGGTAAGATATTTTTAATGTTTTTGAAAGTTCCTTAAGCTCACAAAGGCTGCATTTATTTGATCCAAAATACAGTTAACTAATAGTGATATATTATTACAATTTAAAATAACTGTTTTCTGGGTTAATATATTTTAAAAGTAATTAATTCCTTTGATGGCAAAGCTGAATTTTAAGCAGCATTACTCAAGTTTTCAGTGTCACATGATACTTCAGAAATCATTCTAATATGCTGATTTGGTAGTTAATAAACATTTATTATTATCAATGTTGAAAACAGTTTAATATTTTTGTGGAAACTGCAACATATATTATCTTTACTGTCACATTTGCCCAGTTTAATGAATCCTTGCTGAATAAAAAAATCTGATTGCACGGTTTTGAATGGTTATGTATATATGGATGTGCTTCCCTCAGTGGACTCTCACCCTCTTTAAGAGCAGCGCTGAGCAGTACTCCGGCCTGAGGGATGTCTTCAGTGCTGGGCCGTACCAGCAGTCTGGGCTCTGGTCCTATCTCACATCCTCCTGCCATGATATGATAGATGTGTAGCTTCTCTTCCAGATTTGCACAGATGAGGTGATCGTGGCCACACAAAGACTCTGTGAAAGAAGGAGGTTGGTTGTCATGTTTTTAAAAAAAAAACTATTTTTCTTTAGCTGACACAAATGTGCACAAATAGCTTAAGAAACCACACCTCTCATTGACCACCATTGAAAAGAAACTGTGTAGGCTGATGAAATAAAAGCAACATACAAATCTTATGTATTTCATTATATTATTAGATGTTTTATCAGTAATAGATTATACTGTTGGCACATACATTGACAAGTCTATTTCATAATACTATAAGAGCTCTCCAAAATAGTTAGGGAATGTGAGCATTCTTGAGGTGCCATCAGCCAATCACTTATCAGAATGTCATTTTCTTGCAAATCCACAGTAATTGCCTGCACTATAGAGCAATTTGAGAGGAAAGATGAACGGGGATGCAAAAATGGATAGATATCTTCAGGTTTTATCAATTATATATGCATTTCAGCTATTATAAACTATTATCCTTGGGTTCAGCATATCTGGTTGGTTGTACCTTGTAGCCTGTGGATCTTTTGGACCTTTGCTTCTGTGACTCTCCTTTCCTCTTCTGACTCACTTGTAGTTTCATCCTCCTCTTCAGGGCAACTTATCAAACAAATACAATTTATAATTAGTTCAATCACACACACAGAGAGATTTTTTTCACTCTCAGCTGCCTTTGTAGATAAGAATCAAGTATGACATATTCCATTTCCTCATCACTACACACCTCTCCACAGCCTCTCTGATGAGTCTCATCCAGGCATTTCGTTCATCTTTAGAAGCAGCGTGCACCTCATACATCTCAGGCCCAGCTGAAGACGCGCTGATCAGAAACATGCCTCTCTCCTCATTGGCCACCTCACGCACAATCAGCTTCTGCAGAGAGATCACTGGAGGCTTCTGGTCCTGAGAAACAAAGTAAGTGAGTAAGACAACATAACTAATTATACACACAGTTACATTAAACATCTCATTTACACAAAAACAAACTATCATTCAAGCCACACTAATAAAAGACTAAATCAAATGTATTCTGTGCATACAGATGATTACACCATTACTCAAATGTGTTGTGTCATTAACTTAAGTCATAATGCCTTTAAAATCTTTTGAATCATGAAAATCTCAAAAATGTCAACGTTGATAATAATTTTAAAAAAATGGTTCTAGAGTAAATCAGGTTATTATAAATATTTCTGAAGGATCATGTGACGCCTGGAGTAATGACTGCAGGGACGTGCAGAGAGTTCCTCGGGAGCAGGGGTTCAAATGTAAAAAAGGGGAATTTATATACGGAGTAATACCAATTTAACAATTAAAAATTATACACACACACACACACACACATTTATAAAAATAAAGTCCTTCATGTGATCTTGAACTGCTTACACTTCATGTACACTTGGGCTTCATTTAACCAACAATAATAACCAATAAAATTTAACCAAACAATTAATTTCATTAAACGGTAAAAAAATGTTTAAAAAAAAAATGAAAAGAGACAGTGGCTACACAGTTTTCAACTGATTTATGAATAAGAGCGGGAAGATACTGATCCACTTGAAATTTGAGCTTGTTTAAGACATGCACAATCTATAGCAAGCAACGCAACAGATTTAAGTAAAAATAAACAGGTATTGTCATAATAATTATAATTCAAATCAATTTTGTTTTATTGACTACAATAACACTGTTGACAATTGTTGAGAGAGGGGCACTTTTGGTTAATTTTGGAAAAAGGGCAGGAGCTTGAGCCCCCAAAGCACCCCCCTCTGCATGTGCCTGAATGGCTGCTGAAAATTCCTAAATAAAATGTGAAAAATATTAAAATAGTACACCATTATTTTAAATCAAATAAATGCAGCCTTGATGAGTATATAAGACTTCTTATTAACCCAAACTTTTGAACTGTAATGTATGCTTTATGAAGATGAAAATGCATAATCTCAAAAAACCAACCACAGCAGCAAAGATGTATTTCTGATCTTTCTCCTGAAGGAACACCAATGAATCAGACAGCAAAAATGCCAGAACATCTGTGGATGACCAGAACAATCACATAATGTAGCCAGACCTTTCATCTACTGAGCCAGATAAGAATTAAGCACAAATGGTTGTTCATATGTCCTTTCTATTGACTACTGTGTGATGTTTTTGTGGCCGTTTTATTGGATAATTAATTTTCTCACCTTTCAGTCTTCCTGTGGCTGTCTTCCAGAGCAGCGGGCCCTGGTGCAGCAGAGCTCTGCCACTGGTGATGTCCTGCTTGCGGAAGGTGTAACCACTCTTCAGTTTGGTCGAGCACTTGTTCTCCATGCGGCCCAGGACCTCACTCAGCTTCTGGTTCTGCTCGTACTGACTCACGCACTGGTCCACAGCGGAGATCAGCTCTCGGATCAGGACTAGTGCACGAGAGAGGTCAGCATGCTCTTCTGTGCCCTCTGAAGCAAAGAACAAGAGAAACTGAGTGTAAACGAATGTGTATGCGCAGTATATGTTCGGGTTTGGTTGTGATGTATTGTGGGTGAGGAAAAATACCCTCTGTATAATGCAGGATTCTCTCCAGGAGGACGGGATACTTTGTAATTCGCTGCGTCACTAACAAAATGCATTCTGGGATTTCTCGCCTCTTTACCAATGAGTTGCTACTCTGTTGCTGTGGAACCAAAAAGATCAGATTAACTGAAATTCAGTGCTACCAAAAGCATCCATAATACATCAAAATGCGACTGATACAGTCATTGATTTGGCTCTCACTTTGATGAAGAGCTGAAATCTCTTATTCTGCTGCTGAAGCTCTTTGAAGTAGCTGACCGCTTCTGTGTGATGACTGCAAAACTCACCATACACCTGCTTCATCTTCTCTGCATTCTCCTGGGAGAACTATGATGAACACAAACACACACCTATGAGGTTTCTTATGATGTACTGTACTCTATACTGTATGTACTTGATACTGATACCAACAACACCAGGTGTGGTTGGAACTACAGCTCTCGAACTGTGGTTACAAGCATAGTTTCATGTTAGTGTGACATGTGGACAGTCGTGACTAGTTATTTAATTTCTCCAATGATGCTTTGTGCTCTGGTAGTTAGGCAGTCAGTTACGTAGTTGTATTGTAAATGCCATCCAGACCTGTTTTGAGAACTGCCTCATCTGATTCAATGAAAACTTTTTGACTCAAAAGAATGATTTGTTCATGAAATGGACATTGCAGCTTTTCTCATGAATGGGCCAAATGGGTGAAATGCTTGGTCATGGTTATGACATAATAACTAACTAAAGGGTAACACTTTACAATAAGGTTCCACTTGTTAACATTAGTTAACTACATTAGCTAACAATGAAAAATAATTATAAAGCATTTTTTAACTTTAATGGTAATTTCAGCACCTGAACTAACATGAACTAACAACCAACAGCTGTATTAACTAACATTAACAAAGATTTAAAAAATATAGTAACAAATGTATTGCTTACTGTAAGTAAATGTTAGCTCATTAACTAACATTAACTAATGCAACCTTATTGTAAAGTGTTACGATTAAATTGATCAGGACATTGAATTTTAATTATGTACTCATACAGAAATATATACGACTACTATTATTAATGTACCTGTTGCAGAAAGATGTCACCCACATAGTGAATGAGGTAGTTCTTGCTGCTGTTGGGCTGAACGCAGCTTTGCCGCCGTTCCCTCATCGCTGAAAGGAAGTCACGGTGGAGGAGAAGCAGCTCATCTAAGCAAGGGAAAATCCGAGCAATAGTGTCCGCATCCAGTCCGACTTCTTCCCGCATTCCCCGCCTGAAGACCTCCGCCATTATCATGAGCGTCTGTACATGATGGAGCTCGGTCTGCATGAACTCTGTGCAAGACCAAGAGTACAAAGCACTTTCAAATGATGTACAGAATTAATTTGAACAAAACATTTTTAGTGAGTTTCAGCGGACCGTAAATGACATCCTGTCTCTTGATGATGCATTTTTCTTGCATCTTACAGAACTGGGGCTCCACCGCTAGGCTCCATGACTCCGCCTCCAAATCCACAGCATTCATTACCAGCTCATTCTGTAGGGGGGAATCTACAGTGTCTATGGAGAGGTGGGACACACAAAATAGCTCTTGTTTTAAAAAGGTCTTAAGGCAAAATTATTGTGTTCTATGTATGTTGAGTTGGGGTAGGAATTTCCGCCATCAAATGCCCAGCTGTTTTACCTTCAATAAGGGAAGAATCAGTGGATGTTAAGGACTCCATGGTTTGGAGGAGCTCCTCTGGTTGAATGTGGTTCCGCCACGGAGGGGCGTCACTATCTGCTTCTGGGCTACCACTAAGCCTGATGGAAAAAAATAAATAAATGTTCATTACAACAAGGAATGCTAAACACTCATATGTTCATTTCAACAAATACAAACTATGGGCACTTATGCTGTCTTGGCTTATTGTAACGCCCATCCAAATATTGAATATCCAAACAGTTAAAGTAAAGTAGCAATTATTCACCATTTACAGAGGAAAAAGATGATAAACGTTAGTCAGCTTGCGTTGAGACTATATACATTTCCGTATTATGTCTGAAATTGTCAGACTGAAAATAAATAAGAATGTTGCTGTTATTTTCAGTCAAAAATTTACCTTTTCACTTTTAATATTTTAATAATCAAACAAAAGAGATCCTCTCATTCACAGAGTTGATTTGTAGTATATTGGTGATTGAGCACATCACAGCATATGGGTCATTAACATTTACAATTCATTTATCTAGTAAGTTTTTGGTTGAATATTGCAACACAAAGAGTTTCGGACCTTTCTGTGACCGCAGGCACACTTCTAGACAGAGGGCAAGGAAGAGGTGTAGAGTCTCGTGATGTCATCACAGGAAGAGAGGCAGAGGTGGGGATCTGAGAGGACGAGGAGGAACTTTCACGCACTATAAAATCTAAGTGTGACAGACAAAAAGGTGAGCGCAAAACCAAGACAAAAGTGTAACTGTCTAAATAAAACCTCTGTTAAGGAGTTCAATGAGATGATAGCAGGAGTTATATCGATTTTCCTTTACATATTTTATTAAGGTGGTAAAACTCACTCTGAGGGAGGGAGGCTGTCCTGCTTTTTACTGTCATAACAGAATATTTGTCTTGAAGTTTCTGTAAAAGAGAGCATTATAAATATAATTTTTTTAAACTTAACATTACTTCCTCGTTTGATACACTGATTACCAGAATTCAGTATTATAACAATAGGGCTGATTACAGAGCCTCAGTACTGTGTCTGACCAAACATGGGCAAACATGTCTCTAGGTTTAAATATTAAACGCAGGCAATCTATCAGACTTAGATGTAGTTCAAGAGAAAAACAAAACCACGCAATCGCAAGCACAGTCCACCTTCAGGCATGGTGTAGATGAGTCCTTACAGCCCTTATGGACACTCACTGCACAGTCTAAGAGTCAAGAGAAAAATAAACAAATCCGAAGAAATAACATCAATATAAAATACAGAAAAACACCTACTAAATCAACTGGCAGACTTCCAAGACCTTCCAAATTTTCCAAATTACAAAAATAGCTCAAATGAAATTACTCATTACATACCGCCATGTTGCAAGAAACACAGTATATCTTTTAAGATTAAAAATACGACTTGTTTCCATTTAAACGAACTCACATGTGCAGTGGAGGACCTCTTTCCCAGAAGCTGGCTTGCCGCATATCTCACAAAGTGTCGACCCCAGGACAGATCCTGCTGTGAACTGGTGTCCATTGACCTGCTTGTCTTTGGTCTCTCTCTCTTTTCCTTTCCCCTTAAAGAACCAAGGGAAAGCCATCAGATCACTGACAGTCCACATCACCATCTGCCATGACTGCACATTAAACTCAACGTTTTCATCTCTACATGCTTTCTGCTTATTAAGTTAGTCTAAGTCTGACATGCTTGTGTGGCTAAAAAAGGCCATGGGAAAGTTTGCTGCTGGTAAAACAGTTACAGCCAAAAGGTTTAATGATTAAAAGAGACACCTCTGGTTGTTTTTGGGTCTAACAATCAGTCTTTAGTCACTTTTTTTTATCCATCCTGAATGGCTATTAAAGGATATTGTGTGCAAAAACCAGGAAGAAATGGTTACGTTTTCAAAGAAAAAAAAAGCATTGTATAAAGTAACATGCATTGTATAACGTAATTTGAGTAAGACTACAAACCGAAGTTTAAGATTTTAACATATTGCTTATATGTAATATTGTAAAATATTATTACAATTTAAAATAAATTGCATTTTTTTTTCTCCAAGTAACATTTCTTATTATCAATGTTGAAATCTGTTTTGCTTAATATTTTTGTGGACACCATGATACTTGTTTTATTTCAGAATTCTTTAATGAACTTTAATGAATGCTGTTTTTGTGCTAAAAAAACAAACCTAGAAAGTTCTAGAAAGTTCAAAATAACAGCATCTGTTTGAAATAGTAAAAGCATTAATAATGTTACAAAAGATTTAGGTCACTTTTGATCAATTTAATGCATCCTTGCTGAACAAAAGTATTATCTAACTGACCCCAAATGTTTTGAAAGGCAGTGTATAAATGTACATAACATGTATGGTATGTTTACCTTGTTCTTGTTGCGAGTGCTATACATTCGGCTCTTTATAAAGCTGAATGTGCGACTGACTTTGTATTTTTCTGACTCTGTTTTGGAAGGGATGATATATTTGTCCCATTCCTCTTCCTCAATCCTGAAACACAAAAGCCCGCTTAGATTATTCACCTGGTGTGCACTATAATCACAAACACATGCCTGTCCAGTGAGCGTTTAATGACAACACAGCTTTTACTTTCAGACCATGATGCAGTGGCTGGGTGATTTCATTAAAGGGTTAGTTCACCCAAAAATGAAAATTAGCTTGTGTTTTACTCACCCTCGAAGCATCCTAGGTGTATATGACTTTCTTCTTTCAGACGAATCCAGTCGGAGTTATATTCAAAATTGTCTTTGATCTTTCAAGCCGTTTAATGGCAGTCAGCGGGTGTTGCAGTTGAACAGTCCACAAGTCGTCAAATAAAGCTTGTGCATTCATAATAAAACGTGCTCCGGGGGATGAATAAAGGCCCCCTGTAGCGAATCCATGAGTTTTTGTAAGAAAAATATCCATATTTCAAACGTAATAAACACTTTTCTCTCACTTCCGTGATCAATCATAAGTGGATCCGTTCCGGCGGAAGGCGTATGACGTATGGGCAGTGCGCGCGCCTCTGAGATATGCTAGTCTCGCGAGTTTGTTTAATAGGAGCAAAGGAAGCAAAGTTTCCTTACTTTAGCAAAGTAAAAGACTTTAAAAAGTCTCTTCTTGGTTTATATCGAAATCCTCCGACATTTTTCTTTGCAAATCTTTGGTTTGAAATATGGATATTTTTCTTACAAAAACTCATGGATTTGCTACAGGGGGCCTTTATTCATCCCCCGGAGCCGTCTGCGGCACGTTTTATTATGAATGCGCAAGCTTTATTTGCCGACTTGTGGACTGTTCAACTGCAACACCTACTGAGTGCCATTAAACAGCTTGAAAGATCAAAGACAATTTTTAATATAACTCCGACTGGATTCGTCCGAAAGAAGAAAGTCACATACACCTAGGATGCTTCGAGGGTAAGTAAAACACAAGCTAATTTTCATTTTTGGGTGAACTAACACTTTAACGCATTTGTTTCAGACCAAGTCATGCATTATTTTCCTGGCGGCAGGAAAATTAATAAATTAGTCATCACCCTCTGTGCCATAAATAATTAGGACATACCACCTGAGCAGTGGGGACATTCTCTGAATTTCACACATACCTGATTAGAAATTTTTGCTTAGTGGGAGGTGAGTTGTGAGACAAGGACCACAGTTAGGTTCACAAACAGTGTTATTACATATTTTAGTGTCGACAGAGTGAAGTGACAGCATCATTTGGAGTTTTACGCAAACGGTAAGAAGCATTAGACATGATTTCATGCCAGTGGGTGACAGTGCATTCTGGTTAGGTTATTAAGACGATCATGCCAAGTGTGTTGTTGGTGTTTTGGGGCTATTGGGGCTCTGTATTGACATACTCTTTGAGGAATTCGGAGAGCGTGAGGTGTTGGAGGGAGTTGGCCAGCTCTGCACTGGTCTCATCGTCAGCCGACTGAGCACGCCTACGAAACCTTAACTCCCTATAGAGGTACAGTACAGCACTCTGAGTGTTTATACACACAGCAGACACACGCATTTACATTTTAATGTATCCACACACACATATTGTCTCTAGAGGGCGCTATTGTGCTTTGCTGTAAAAAAAAAACTGTGAGAAAAACGAACTGTGGGGAATTTTTAAAAAAAAAACCTTGAAAAAAGTTGACATATGGACAATGATGATATATGAGTTGCAATACAACATACAAAGGGATCTTTCACAGAAACTGTATGTCAGTCACCAACTACTACATGCATATCTTTGTGTCCATTTACATTAATGTTTTTTGCTCATTAAAAAAAAAAAAAAACACTATCAAACAGCATTCACTTTGGAAAGGTTGACCTATGAAAAGGTGCCACATTCTTCAAATCAACAGAAAAGCACCCTATCACCTGGCAACCATGAATTCTTCTTAACATAGTTTTATTCTCTGGTTAATACCCAATACAGGGATCAGGGGAGATGACAGGTTGTTAGAGGTCTGCATTACCTTTTCTCTTGAGGCTGCTCGGATGTGCTGCAGGCACGATGTTCTGTGGAAAAGAGAATATAGGTGCTGATGTAAAGATTATACTCTAAAATTGGGGTTTTATCATTTAGGTTGCTTCTGTCAAGACCACTTTTTGATGGCTTTTTAAATACTCATAAAGAAATATATTTGAGAACTTACAACAGGTTTCCTTATATACTTAATAAACAAATTCATCTACAGATTGATGACACAATCCTTCCTTTCCAGCAACATCTTATCAAATAATGATGAAACCCCTTGAGGGTGAAGGCAGACGCACTGCAATTAGGCTTCCACAACCAGCGAGCAAAGCCAAGCCATGGAGATTTACACCCTCACGCATACTGTACACACATCAGACCAGTGTTGTTATTGTAAACGGAAAAATATAAACATAAAAATATTTAATCACTGAAATTAAAAATAAAGTTTGAGTTTAAGAAAATAAATAAAAATAAATAAATAAGTAAATTGAAATATAAAAAAAAAAAATTAAAGGAGCAAATAGCTAAATTACAAAAACTAAAATGAAATAAAGTGAAAATATAAAAACAAAAGTCAATTCAAAAATGTATAAATACTTAAATATAAATAATAATAAAATGACACTGACCCAGACACATTATACAAACACAAAAACACATCCATTTTCAGAAATCACTTTCTCACACAAACACACAGAGTGCTTTCAGCAGCAGAAGTGTTGTGCTATGTTGTTAGTAGCGTGCGGCGTAAGAGGTGAGCGAGCAGGCGAGCAGGCTTGGCCGTACTTACTAACAGGGTTGAGCAGAGACAGAGATTTAGACAGAGACAGTGCCTGTAGGAGAGACCTGCTGCCACTGCTGCTGGAGCGGGCGCCATCTACAGGACACAGCGGACATGACACTCACTACAGCCCGGCACTACTCTACACATACATACTGTGCTGGCTTTGAATGGAAGGATTTGCATAAATTATGAAGTGTTATAGCAGAAACAGCCAAAATCAGGTGATTTGATTTGATCCTCTATTCATGATGCCTGGATCAACAAACAGCAGCACATTTTGGCTGTGTCTCAAAACCAAACATTCAAACATGCCTGTCCCTTCTGGAAAATCCAACTTAAGCAGGCAGCTGTGTTATGAAACATGGTAGGTTTTATTTAACTGGTCTAAGCTGGTCATTAGCTGTTCATAAACTTCACTGTCGGCTGGACTACAAGCTTCAACGTTCCAAAAACCAGCTTAGCCATTTGAAGCTGGTTAGATAATGTAGTAGATGGATTGCTGATGGTTTACATGCTTAAGAACAGTTTAGACCAGCTACCATGTAGAAAGAACACAATTACAATCTTGAATTGGTGTTTTTAGCAGGTATATTTGTTAGTAGTGTGTCGGTTCACTACAGTTTTGTTAGTGACTATGAAACATGCTTCTAGCAACTTATGATCAAGTGTAAAGGCTATTACGTTCAGCTGTTATATTATATATGTTGGTGTCCAGAAATTATTTTACAGAATTTGGAACCAGAAGGAATATCATCAGAAATTTCCGATTAAAGCCTTGGATTAAAGGGATAGTTCACCCAAAAATGAAAATGTGATGTTTATCTGCTTACCCCCCAGGGCATCCAAGATGTAGGTGACTTTGTTTCTTCAGAACACAAATTATGACGTTTATCAAAATTTGTTGCAGTCTTTCAGTCGTATAATGCATGGCAATGGTAACAAAATCTATGAGTAAAAAAAAAATGCACAGACAAATCCAAATTAAACCCTGCAGCTCGTGACGACACATTGATGTCCTAAGACACGAAATGATCGGTTTGTGCCAGAAACCAAACAGTATTTATATAATTTTTTACCTCTAATACACCACTATGTCCAACTTCCTTGAGCGCGCGCACGGCATCCGATGTGTGAGGTGTGTACGCGCTCTGGCGTAGTTTACGTTAACGGGTGTGTTGATATCCAGCCGAAGAGCAATCAAGCATAACTTCAGGCGAGCAGGCTCAGAAGTTGGGAATACATGGAAAGTCATCACTCCCGAATGAGTTCGCGTGAGAGAACGTAATCTTTTAGTTTTAAGTCGGTTTAAACAATCCGGATAAGCGCAAGTAAGTACCATTTTGATTAGCCGTCGTACCTACAATGACTGAGCACTGTGTAAACAATGAGTGACGTATACGCGCGAGTGATCACTTCCGGCGCTTGCGTAAACTCAAGGCAGTTCGACATAGTGGTGTATTAGAGGTAAAAAAATTATATAAATACTGTTCGGTTTCTCGCACAAACAGATCGTTTCGTGTCTTAGGACATCAATGTGTCGTCACGAGCCGCAGGGTTTAATTTGGATTTGTCTGTGCATGGTTTTTTTTACTCTCATAGATTTTGTTACCATTGCCATGCATTGTACGACTGATAGACTGCACCAGTTGGAGTTAAAAATCATAATTTGTGTTCTACTGAAGAAACAAAGTCACCAACATCTTGAATGCCCTGGGGGTAAGCAGATAAACATCAAAATAAAATTTTTGGGTGAACTATCCCTTTAATGGAATAGAACAGGCATGATGATGCTGCCAAATGACATTCAGCAGCATTAACTACCACAGACAATGCTAATTATTGGGAGATACTCTGACTCGCTGGATGTTAATGAATGCAGATCATTTGAGGGCAGTACACACAAGCAAAATTTTGTAGTTGTACACCATTTTTAAAGAGATAAAACAACTGATAAAAAGGAGATCCTAAGCTAAATACTGTAATTTTTAGCTTAATTTTCGTGACAGTAAGAAAGAAGGCCTGTTTCACACTGCACATGTAAGCAGTGCATAATTGAAGCAGAAGCGTCACTGTAACAGCACTGTGTTCTGCTTTTACACGGACAGTGTTTCTGCAGCATAGCAGAGCTGCAGCTCTTCAAAGAAAATAAAAACTTTTCTGGGTTGCCACATTGAATATTACGTTGAAGTAACTTCTAAATCATTATTGGGAGTGTCTGTGATTGTGAACTTGACCATTATTAAATATAATTGACATATTTTGTAAAGTAAAATTTGCTTGATTTACATCCAAATGGAAATTAATCTACACAAAACAGAACACAAACCCTAAAGTACAACAATAAACCACTTAACTGATCTGGATTTTGATTTACTGCACAATGCACTGTGTGAATGCTTTAACCATTAGGGTCTGACATAAACATGCACTGCTTACAATTACAGTGTGACGGGGTGATATGAGTGTCAAACAGGTCATATATAAATAAACGTTCTGATCTTGCTATAAAAAAAATTTTTAATGAAAAAGATTTTAAATGAGTTACAAATCCTATCATCCCTTAAAAGCTCATCATGCTTAAAACAGACTAGACAGGAAACGAGTGCTCAGTCACTCCCAGCAATGAGAAGAAAGAAACAGATGATGTTTTCAGTAACTTGATATGCAATATAAATATCTCAGAATAAAAGGACTTTTGTTTATGCCCTGTGATTCATATTTGACTCGACTTCCTGTCACCTGACCCTGCAAAATGCTAACCTTGGCAAAAACACACATCATTTGGGACAAAATGTAAATTAAGTGAGAGGTTTAAGGTGAAAAGTTAAAGGATCTGACCCTGGTTGAGGTCGGTAGGTGGAGGTTGGGCATCCCTACTAAATCGTGGAGGCAGCAGGCTGATTTTGGGGGAGGTGTAGGAATACGAACGGAGACGGATGCCCTGCTCAATATCCTGAAAAAATAAATAATTAACATTTTCACTGAGTTTCCATCTCACAGTGCTCACAAATGTAGTAATGACCATCATGTGTAGTAGCTGTAGTCAGATATCTGTATCTGTGCATAGTTTGCCTCACTCTAGGGAACCAGGGAAATAGGTGTGGTACCTTTGCAGGGGTGGGGTTACAGGCAGAGGAGGCGGAGTGAGATCGCATGCAGGTAAGATCAGGGGCAGGGCCAAATATAACCTGATCATCTGTGCTGTTTTTGAGCTCAGGCTGTGGCTGGGGGAGGGGCTTCTTCATTAAAATGTCATCATCATCATCCTCCTCGCTGTCCATTTCCAAGGCCACCAGACTCGGGCTTAGAGAGAGGATTAGACTTCTAAAAATTCTCAACAACCACTGTGAGTAAGACGAGCATCACTTACATTTTGTAAATAATTCATACATTTTGTGTTTGGCACAAATGCTCCTCCAACTATGGGGAAATATCACAGCAATATCACAAATGTTTTAAATCATGGAAAAAAATTTCAAACTGATTCTGGGCTTTTGCATAAAAACTGCATTCCTGCTTTTAGGGATGTAACGATTCACTCAACTCACGATACGATACGATACGATTCGATTCACGATTTTGATTTCACGATTCGATTCGATTCACGATTTTAAAAAAAAAGAGAGAGATTTAAGACAAATTATAAATTAAATGTGTCCTTTTATTATTGCTTGGACTAATACTGCACGTTTCTTTGTGAAATTGAAATATAACACTATAATAATATACTAATATAGTACTTGTAAATTATTGCTCTTTTGTTGGTTTTGATTGCTTCTATTGTCCTCATTTGTTAGTCGCTTTGGATAAAAGCGTTTGCTAAATACCAAAATGTAAATATAATGTAAATGTAAATAACAAAACTAAATTTATTGTACACAAGTAAACAAAATGTCCTTAAAATGTTTTCAGAACAGTGATGGGTTCATGCTCTCAGCAGCCAAGAATTCATTGCGCAGGGAAATATCACAGCAATATCACAAATGTTTTAAATCATGGAAAAAAAATTTCAAACTGATTCTGGGCTTTTGCATAAAAACTGCATTCCTGCTTTTAGGGATGTAACGATTCACTCAACTCACGATACGATACGATTCGATTCACGATTTTGATTTCACGATTCGATTCGATTCACGATTTAAAAAAAAAAAGAGAGAGATTTAAGACAAATTATAAATTAAATGTGTCCTTTTATTATTGCTTGGACTAATACTGCACGTTTCTTTGTGAAATTGAAATATAACACTATAATAATATACTAATATAGTACTTGTAAATTATTGCTCTTTTGTTGGTTTTGATTGCTTCTATTGTCCTCATTTGTTAGTCGCTTTGGATAAAAGCGTTTGCTAAATACCAAAATGTAAATATAATGTAAATGTAAATAACAAAACTAAATTTATTGTACACAAGTAAACAAAATGTCCTTAAAATGTTTTCAGAACAGTGATGGGTTCATGCTCTCAGCAGCCAAGAATTCATTGCGCAAAACACATGTGGTCGGCACAAACCATGTTTATTCTCGCTGTAAGTGAACCTGCATTTAATGTATGAGTTATTTTCTCAGGTCATGCAAACTGTGCCTGATTTGGCTACTTCAAATAACTATGAAGTATAAACCGAGGACATAAACTACTACTCAAAAGTTTGGGGTTGGAAATTTTTGGGAAAGAAATTGATACTTTTATTCAGCAAGAATGCATTAACTTCATCAAAAGTGACATTAAAGACATTTATAATCCTACAAAAGATTTACATTTCAAATAAATGCTGTTCTTTTGAACTTTAAAAAAAAATCATGATTTCTACAAAAATATAGTTTTCAATATTGATAATAAGAAGAAATGTTTCATGAGCACCAAATCGGCATATTAGAATGATTTCTGAATGACCATATGACACGGAAATATAGGTTAAAGTGTTTTTTCCCCATACATGCAACCTTGGTGAGCATAATGTACTTCATAAAAGTACTTAATAAATGTTTTATTTTTTTTTTAAATCTTACCAACCCAAAACGGTAGTGTATAAAGTGTATAGTGTCAAATTTCAAACACCACCTGCGATTAACTGACTGTCACAACAAAACATCAATGTTAGCATGCTTACCTTAGGTCACATGGCTCTGTAGGTGAGCTTGAGCTGTCATATGTCAGTTCAGCAGGTCGTGTGGCACGCATGAGTCTATCCAGCATCAGTCCCGCTGGAGTGGTGGGAGAGAAAGAACGAGAAGCATGCTGCCGTCCTCTCTGACCTTCATCATCTTTAATAGCTGGAGGCATATCTATAGTCCTTGGTGACAAGACCCCTGTATCTGACATTGGCCACACACCACTATCTGTCCCAGAACTGTCCTCTGTGACACTTGTAACAGCGTACTTCATATTGAGGTCATTGTCCTACATCAGAAGAGAAAACAAATATTTCATGTACTAAGAAAATGACAAAAGTAATGTAGTGACTTACTAGGGTTAGTTCACATAAAGATTAAACATTTTTCTCACCCTCATGAAAAGTGAAAAAACCTGTACCTTACTTTCTTCTGAAAAAATGTTCAACCGTTTTTGTCCATACAGTGAAAGTCAATGCGGTCCAAAACATTACTGGTCCCCGCTGACTTTTGTATGCACAAAAAACACTGAGACATTTTCCAAAATATCTTTTGTGTTAAACGGAAGAAATAAAATCATACAGGTTTGGAAGGACATGAGGGTGAGTAAGTGATGACACATTTTTTTGTTTTGGGTGAACTATCCATTACACAAAGCCTGGCGTCTCATAAACCACAGTGCCTTGATTCATGTCAAACTAAAGACTTCTGTGGCAGTTGAAGAGTTGTGGCTTAAGATTCAGGCTACAATGTGCCAAGATCAAATAAAGACTTTCCCCAAGACTTTCACAGAGATCAATCACAAGATAAAGGCAGTAAAGTGAAGGGAGGAGATGGGATTTGGATTAAAAATGTTACAGCTGAGTGTCTGTAGATCTGGCATACTGAGTGAGCTGATTTGTAGGAGTAGCGATATGTGTGGCGTCTGACCTTAGCGGAGCCTCTGAGCATGGCCATGAGCCTGACGGCAGCAGTGTCTGAGGAACTGAGGTGAAGTGGAGTGCAGGAGCCAGGAGAGGAACACAGCTTCTCTGTCAAAACAAAGCACACTGTCAAACTGATGTGTGTGTGTGTCAATAAAACTGGATGGAAATGCAGAGTCAGTGATATTTAAAAGTTAACTAATAAAAACATTAATGTGAATAACAGCTGTCACTTTACATTCTACTGCCTTTGTTCTGTTCTCTGGAAAATGTTGTGTGTGTGCGTAAGTGTTTTGACAATCTCTGAATGCCAAGATGGCAGAAGAAACCAGTAAAATAGAAAATAGAAAATAGCACAACAGCATGGCCTTCATATGGCCGGTGAATTTTTATTTTTAAGGAGGCTTTTGCTTTCCTTTTGCACAGTTAACTCTATGCGTCTCTGTGCATTTATCCAAAAGAGATCCAAAAAACTATAATTATTTCTCACACAGTATCATTTATAATTTTTCATTTAGCAGACATTTTTATCCTTTTACTTTTACCACTTCTATTTATCATTTTAAAGTGATTTAGAAATGAGGAATACAACAAAGTGACCAACTTAAGCAAATCTGCTATTATCTTAAATACATATCTGAGAACTCCATTAATACATTATAAACTATGAAGAAGAAACCTCTGAATAATAAATTATCTTCTGGGCAAACACACAAAATTTGTGGTCCCAATGCAGTCAAAGTGGTGCAGTGTGTAAAGAACATAGAAGAAACAGACATTCAGCCTCTCACACACACACTTGCAATGACCTTTACAGCTATGTGCGGAAACACAAACTTACACATGTACCTATCCATTCACATGACAAAAACTTCCACCGACATTGTCAAACAAACACATCAAGATGAATGTTCAAGGGAAAGGTATGTATTTGTTGGCACATGATCATCTATCTGTGTGTGTCTTGGTAAAGATGAGTGTGTATGTTAAAGTGAAAATTCCGATAACTTGCAAGGGCATCCCGTCATGATGGATGCATGTGAAGGCCTTCCAACAACAATGGAAATACCAGATACTAATGTCAACTCCACACACACACACTTTACTCATTTAGATACAGTGGGGAAAAAAAGTATTTAGTCAGCCACCAATTGTGCAAGTTCTCCCACTTAAAAAGATGAGAGAGGCCTGTAATTTTCATCATAGGTATACCTCAACTATGAGAGACAAAATGAGAAAAAAAAATCCAGAAAATCACATTGTAGGATTTTTAAAGAATTTATTTGCAAATTATGGTGGAAAATAAGTATTTGGTCAATAACAAAATTTTTGATGTCCGTCTCCGGATTCTCATCTTTGGGAAGGATGGCCATGAGTAGTTAAACGGAGAGTCTGAATCAGAGTCCATGTTTTTAATTTTCCTCAACTGCTCCGTTTTGTGAAACACATAACAGTAAAATCAACAAAGGAGTTACGCAGGAGTTTGAGAACACCTATCTAAAAAATGCAGATTCCTCAGATAAGCATTGAGGAGATGAGTCCGCGAGTGTTTGTGCGCGTGTTGGAGAAGGTGGGCTCAGTCTTGACACTCTATACTCTCACTTTTTTGTTGCAGGCAGAGTCAGGACTCAAACTGGACCTGGGAGAGCACGACGGAGGGATTTTCAAACTAAGGTGTCTGTAGGAATCTGAAAGGTCAGCCAAGGTTTAGGAATCATTAACCATAAATGCTAATAAAACCCCATGAGGTCCTGGGATGCAAAAGGACACACACCTCCTCTTAATCTTTATAAACAAATAATGAAGCAAACTGCAATTTCAACGTGGAACAAATCACCATAATTATTTTTTCATTAATTCATGATGCAAAGCAACCTAATTTGTAATGCAACTTCTCACAGGCAGGAATGAGTCATGTATCGCCTCAAAAACAGTACAAGGGTGGGCCAAACTGACTTGCAACAAACATTAATTAATTTTAATAACAATCCCAAGCCAATCCCAGAGTGGTGGCTCACAGTATAATCTAGAACATGTTCTAAAATCTCTATTTAAAACATGACATTACTGAAAAATCGACACTAGTCATGCTGAGCTGATAGCTAATGATAACTAAAAATATATCAGTAATATTATTGTACCTGTATATAATAAAATATCAATTTATATTAGCATGACATTGAAATTAAACTTCAATCTGCAACAAAATAAAACCTAAACCTAGAAAAAACCCAGCCCCTCACAGATACAAATTAACACCAAATCAACCTCAAATCCCATAAAGTCAATCCTAACCCAACTATACAAAAAGTACCCCACTTAAATTCAACAGCACAACTGAATCTGACACAGACCCAATTCATAAAATCAAACCCACTGAAATACAACACAAGCGCAACAACACACAGTAAGTCTACTAGTTAAAAAGCCAAGTCACCACTAGCCAGGAACTTTTAAAAAGCAGTATTACAGCCAGGTGTGTGTGTGTGTGCCTGAGACGAGATGGATTACTCTCTGCATGTGGTGGACATTCAGTCTCTGTTAGCGAACCACTCAGTGTGTGTATGTATCCATCCTTCAGCGGGAACATGGGCTCTAGTAATCCAAACAGCAGACTCATTCAGTTCACCAAAGGTCTCAAAAACCAACAAAAGACTTGTATTTCACAGGTTAGGATTTTTAAATGGTACCATAAGTCTGCTGCAACTCAATAATTATATATGTCTGTGTGTAGCTCTTCAGAAAATCCTCCTTATGAAGACAGATCTCCTGATCGGTGAAGGTGAGTAAACAAAAATGTCAGATTTAATTCCTTTTTTCTTATATCCTTTCGTCCGTGTTCATATTCCTTTACTTCTACAACAGCGGAATTTTAGTAATCCAAACAGCAGACTCATTCAGTTCACCAAAGGTCTCAAAAACCAACAAAAGACTTATATTTCACAGGTTAGGATTTTTAAATGGTACCATAAGTCTGCTGCAACTCAATAATTATATATGTCTGTGTGTAGCTCTTCAGAAAATCCTCCTTATGAAGACAGATCTCCTGATCGGTGAAGGTGAGTAAACAAAAATGTCAGATTTAATTCCTTTTTTCTTATATCCTTTCGTCCGTGTTCATATTCCTTTACTTCTACAACAGCGGAATTGTCCATTCAGTTTAAATAGAGACCTCCAAAAGAGTTTGCTTCCAGTCGGCCTGCTCTTTTCTGTGGAGTGTGACTGTTTTAGTCTCTCATGAAATCTGGGCTCTCTCAACCCCAGATTTCTCCTCCCTCTGCCTTTCTCAGAGTTTTTAGTGGCTAACCGTCTGCGTGTGAGAGACTGAGCTTGTGTTTAAAACGAGAAAAAAGGAAATGATAGCTCAATATAGCTCAGATTATGAGAATGGGTTGCATATGTGAGTGTGAATGAACAAATGAATAAATATTTTATAATCATCAAAGATCAGAAGATCAGCTCAAGGTTGATCAACCCAAAGTCATTTAATCAAACTCAAGGCATTTTCATCTTTTGTGTGGTGCAATTTGTTCATTTTAACATTTAATTTAATTTAAAATGTACTACTTTCCTACATTTTCTTTCCTTAAAAAGAAGAAAAAACTCATGAGATTAATCACAATTATTAGTCTTTTTTTCTAGGTTTAACCAAATAAATCTATCCAAAGACCCCTAAAACCTACAGAAATAACCCCTCAGGTAACACAGACCTGTTTGGGAAGCATTTTGCTACATGAACAAGGTAACTGGGAGAAATCAGTGAGAGCATCTGTATTAGGATGAGGAACACGTTCAAGTTCAAAAATCTAAGCTTGTTAACATTCCTGCCTCGATTTTACAGTTGAAACTGTGAATGTGCATGTCTGTGTGAGAGGGTAGTTGGGTTGAAGGGGCCAAAGCTGTTTCAAAAGAAAAGAGTTCTATCTTCTGTCCTTCCTTGCCTATAAATCTTCCTCAAAAAAAGAAAAGAAAAGATTAGAAAGAAAAACTAAAAATTGCACTTTTTGAATCAAGGACAGCAGATCCATAAGAGCAATGGCAGCGTCTGAAATCCAGAAGGCACTTTTTCCCCTTGAGCAACAATGACATGAAACTAATCAACGAACACTGAACAGAAGGTCTGCACAATTTCATTTAGATGGAAAATGAGTATGTTCCGTTGCCAGCGCCTGCTGCTTTGTACTTGAAATACACTGAGAGAATGATTAAAAACACAAGATGTCTGTTTTGAATGAACATGATTTTGCTCTAACCTCAAAGAATCCTCTTAAATTAAACATGTTCCTGTTCCTTCTGAATTTTCAGCAGGCATTACTCCAGTCTTCAGTGTCACATGATCCTTCAGAAATCATTCTAATATGCTGATTTGGTATCTTCCTCAAAAAAAGAAAAGAAAAGAAAAGAAAAGAAAGAAAAACTAAAAATTGCACTTTTTGAATCAAGGACAGCAGATCCATAAGAGCAATGGCAGCGTCTGAAATCCAGAAGGCACTTTTTCCCCTTGAGCAACAATGACATGAAACTAATCAACGAACACTGAACAGAAGGTCTGCACAATTTAATTTAGATGGAAAATGAGTATGTTCCGTTGCCAGCGCCTGCTGCTTTGTACTTGAAATACACTGAGAGAATGATTAAAAACACAAGATGTCTGTTTTGAATGAACATGATTTTGCTCTAACCTCAAAGAATCCTCTTAAATTAAACATGTTCCTGTTCCTTCTGAATTTTCAGCAGGCATTACTCCAGTCTTCAGTGTCACATGATCCTTCAGAAATCATTCTAATATGCTGATTTGGTGCTCAAACATTTCTTATTATCAATATTTAAAACAGTAGTGGTGCTTAATATTTTTGTGGAAACTGTGATGCATTCATTGTTTTTGTTTATATATATATATATATATATAAAGAGTTCAAAAGAAAAGCATTTATCTTCAATATAAATCTTTTGTAACATTATAAAGGTCTTCACTGTCGCCTTTGTTTTTTTTTTATTTCATCCTTGCTGAATAAAATCTATTTTTCGGACGTATGCATGTGTACCTGAGTTAAATGTGTTTAGATCTTCATCCTCTTCATCCAGACAGAGAACAAGCTGTTCTTCAAAGACCTGAAAAACAAAACGACAAAAACACACTCACACACGACAATTCAATCGTTTTCAAGAACGAAAACAGACCAAAATAAGAACGCAGGCATGAACATCTGTCCACTAGCAAAGAGAAAAACACTACAAGAGCACATATGGCAGGTCTAAAGAAGACTAAGTGATCCATTATTGTGTTTCTGATTCCAGGAATTGACTGAGACAGACTCACGCACAGAAATAACTCCACTCACACTATCCACCAGGGTTTCATCCTCGATTCTCAGTTGGCTATTCAGATCTGAGGAGCAGAAACAACAAATACAACATGAAAATTGATTTCCACTATGCAATTGCAAACTTGAGCACAAACAAGCCTTTCGGTTGGAAAACCGAGACACCTATCACCATGGTGAGCAGTGACAGGAAGTGTCTGAACAAGTTCACAGGGTCACAGAGGCTAAACCCGCCGAGGCTCCTGCTGTCAACACAGCAAGCTTGCAATTTCTCTGTGTCTCTCTCTGGCGTTTACATCATGCCATTTTTTCTTGATCAGTCGAACTGTAGGCAGATTATTTATCTCATTTTGTCCTCTCTTAGCCCTCCCAAACATATAGTGTCTCTGTCTCTCAGCCCACCCAGGAGGAATGCGTCTCCTCATACTGGACATGTTTGGGAAACCAGCCGGAGGTCCCTCACAAAGACTGCTCTGTGTATGTGTGTGTGTATTAGTGTATGTGTACTCCTCATCCCACATTCTACCACAATGTCCTCCTGACTGAGCCAAATTCACCCAATGTACTCTAACAACCCTGCCAGACCTAACTCTCAGTGACAGGGAGAGAGAGAGAGAGAGAGAGAGACAGAGAGAGACAGAGAGAGTCGGTGTGGGGAGAGCTGGGGTCATCTAGAGGGAAAGGAGAGTGAGAGACAGAGAAAAAGAAAAAGTGGAATAACAGAAGGAGGACTGAGGGTAAGTGAGAGCCACAAGAGAAGAAAATTGATCACAACAGCAGGATGAAACGTGATAAGATCTTGGCGAGAGCAAAATATAGAATGACTATGACTTTTAGTCATAAAATAAACCCAAGACAGGAGACAGGAGGAATAAAATAAAGTGAAAAATAATGAAAAGACCATTATGGCCAGGATTGATCTTGTGGAGTTTGAACTCTCACCACATGGCTTATATCTAATTTTCAGAAACCCACAAATATCAGTTGAAATCCCAGATTCCAGCTGAACATTTTAGTTTAACAGTTCATTATTGCTAACATGGGCAAAAAAATTGACAGATATTTTAGTCTGTGTATTGAGGTAAAACACATTGAAATGAGCTCTGGTTTATTACCTGTGTCACATACATCAGATCTGCGCACGCTTCCCTCACTTAGTTGCCCCACCTGTAATGTATTTTACACTGTCAGCTCTGATATAGAATCACATGTTTTTGTGTTTTACATCATTTGAAAAATCTCATTTTGATGAACTCTTTTAACTCTATTTTAAATTAATACTTTTATTTAGCAAGGATGCAATAAATCAAAAGTGACAGGAATAAATTACATTTTAAACATATTAAAATAGAAAACTGTAATGACAGTTAAAATATATATATTTTTGATCAAATAAATGCATTCTTGATGAGCATAAGAGACATTTCAAAAACATTTTTTTTTTTTAAACTTGCTAACCCCAAACTTTTAAATGGTACTTTACATGTACTTACTAAACTATGTATAATTATTACATATGAAAACAGTTTTGAGAAACCTCACAGGTACATGATTTACAGCACTTGTAATCTCTCTGCTGATCTTGTTCTGTCTGCCAACAGTTGTTATATGAGAAATACCAGTCTGCCGCTCAAAGCAATATCTGTAAACAATACTGTAAACTGCAATAAAAGTTTCCAAAGTTATGACTTTAGTCATTTATAGACTTGTAAAACTGAAAGTTAGAGAGAGGGGTGGACAGCTGAGGGGTGTATTTCAAACTGGGGATTATTTCACCTGGAGTTTTATAATACTTTATTTTCCGTATCGTATGGTAAGCACATAAAATATTTATTACATTCTAAAATTAATATTACCCATATATTTACTCTGAATATACAACTAACTTTGAGTTCTTTTGAATAACTGCCAATAGAGAAAGATGATTTTGGGGTGCAGATGGTGTAGTTACAGCATGTACCAGCAGAGGCTAACAAGTCTAACCAGCTGAACCCTGAACCTTTGAACTCAATCACCAGCAAATTGGGGGAGTGTTTGAAATTTGTATTCAGAAGCTGTTTAAAAACAGTCATCAGTTTTTCAATGTTCTGTAATGGCGTAGAAATTATACAGTTTACTTTTAACTGGTAAAACTTTATAAGAGCAAAAAGCAGAAAAGAATCAGAAAAGCTTACTGTTAAGCTTAGTCAAAAATCTATGTAATTTCCTATTCCTTACACACCGCTTTTTTAGGCAGAGATTAAATAAAGTCCAAGATCTTCAGAGAGTCACAAACAGTGAAAATCAAACAAAGAAAGTTTCCTTGAAATTTGTGTTAAAGGGGTCATATGATGTTGCTAAAAAGAACATTATTTTGTGTATTTGGTGTAATGAAATGTGTTTATGCGGTTTAAGGTTAAAAAAACACATTATTTTCCACATACTGTACATTATTGTTTCTCCTCTATGCCCCGCCTTTCTGAAACGCGCCGAATTTTACAAAGCTCATCGGTCTGAAAAGCAAGGTGTGCTGTGATTGGCCAGCTATCCAGTGCATTATGATTGGCCGAATACCTCAAGCGTGTGACAGAAATGTTACGCCCCTTACCATACCGTGATGATGCCCTGTCAGGCCGGAGCGATGATTCAAAAACATGAAAACCCATTATAAACGAGGCATTTGTTGCATCCAGTGGGGACATAATTATGGATTATAATGACTTATACTGTCTTTTTACGCGTTGCATTGCATCGCATAAAACATAAAACCATGTCTGCATTTGTGATCGGAGAAATGACAAACAACAAGCGCTACTCTATACTGCTCAAAATTCGTGTTTGAATCGTCAGTGGCAAATTCTTTATATATAAAAAACTTACTTACAATCTGTGAGTCAGAACAGCTGGCATTGTAGTCTACTCTACCAGGATCAGGAAACAGTCCTCCATAAAATGTGCTGCACACATCTGAATATTTGGGTTGAAGTGTTCTGGAACAGTGTTGTAAATACAACTTAACCACTGATTTTTAGTCGTGTCCATTTTTGGAAGGCCAAACAAAGTATTTTCGCTTTCACAACAAAACACAGCGTCACACACGGCGGCCTAGAGTGAGCAGAAGCCGGGGCTAGAGTGAGGAACGGCCGGAGGGCTAGAGTGAGCTGAGGCGACGGGCTTGAGAACCGCATGGCCGGCGGATTCGACGAAAGAGCATCTGGAGGGCTTGCGGCAACCACAAGTGACGACCCCGGGCTGGACTCTGCTTCGTCCTGTCCACGCCTGTATGCAAATGCAGACTCACCCTTGCAAGTGTATCCGATGCTCTGCTCTTCTCTCTGTACAGCTCGATGCTGTGTGGCGCATCTATCCGTGTGCCGTTTTTCACAGTCAGACTAATAGATTCAGTGACAGGGCAGATACGGAGCTGGTGAGAGCCGTCAGTCCATATCTGACACATCCACACTGGCCACCACGCACTGCTATTTTTGGGACTGATCATAACACAGTCATAAGACACATTAAACTCAGCCCTACTGTACGCTATATCAATGACTGAGGTGACACATCAGTGATTAATGGATCTTTTTCAGATGTAATCTAATTATAGTGCATTGTGTCAGGCTGGACGGAGTGACTCACTTTGTTAGAGCGCTGATGAGCGTCGGGTCTCTGTGCTTCTGAGCCAGTGTGAGAGGACTATGTCCTTCCTTGTCGACGATGGGAATCATCCTCTGACTTTCTGACTCCTGGAGGAGGAAGTGACTGAGGTGGGGGAACCCCAAAATCATGGCCACATGTAGAGGCATTTCCCTGGAAAGGAGATCTAAAAGAGACAGAGAATGATAAGCGATCAGACTTGGAAAAATAATGTGCAGCTTTATTTTTCCAATTAAGAAAGGCAGATTAATATTTCTATTTTAACTTTCTATTTATTTCTATGTATTAATTTCCCAAATTGGGAGACATTAGCTATTTATAAGGTGTACAAGTATAAAAGGAGTTGTAGTATGTGTGGAAATGATATTGTGATTTGAAGAGAGTTTGGCATGCTTTTCAGTGATGCACGACAAAGTTCTCTTTTATTCCACCCACAGATTTAGTCCACTGCGTAATATTTATTTTTCAATATACTAGGGCATAACTGCATTCAAAACCCTGTAGAGCACTTGCTCTCAATCTTTTTGGCTTGAAGGCTGCACAATATATACCATACACAATATCTGAAGGCCCTCTACAGTATATAATATAAGCAGAACTCCTATATATAATATATATATAAATTGAAATCATTAATCTTTTTTCACCTCAATAAATATTGTTTTTATTGAAGAATACACACAGTATATTAAATCACACACAAATTTTGGTTATTTTGAATAAATAAAACTACTTTAATTAGCTCTAAAAGAAAGCCTTTTGCGTGCTCAAAAGGGAGATTCTGTCAAATTGGAGGGAAAAAAAAAAAATCTACAGTTATAAGAAATCAGGAGTCCAACTGGCACATTAGTGTACAAGTTCTAAAATACACACAAGATGTTGTTTTGTTATTTGCATGCAAGCCCATCTGTGCTTTGTGCTTTATGCAAACAAGCAGTAGTCTGATAACAGGTATAACACTGTCGAAAAAAATGGACCATAATAACCTTGTGGACATCCACATCAATGGTTTAGAGTTCAAACAGACAGCTAATCTCTGTGTGGTACACATCTGGTCATAAACATGCGGTAGGGAGACAAACACTTATGGCAAGAACTTTGTGCATGGTGTCTGAGATGTATTATGAAGGGGTGTCAAAGACAGGGCCCAAGGGTTGAATACGGTCCATGGAGGAGTCCAGTAAGCCTTTTGGATGATTTGAGGAAAAAATATTTAATCCAATCTGGCCTTCAAACTACAGTGAATGTGGCACCCTTTCTGTTTTCCTCTTTATTGTTTTAGTGTTTCCCATAAGTATGTGTAAGCCACAGATATTTAAGGGTAATATGTCTAGAACTGAGTCAAAATCTGCTCATCAGGTTATCACAATGCTCAAACTCACACAGCAAATGCAAATTCAATTCCATCAAGTGGACTCATCATAAACAATCAGTTCATCTTCATATGAATGAAATTCAGGAGGTTCAGGATATAAAGAATCAAGTTGATAAAGCCTTGTATAAGTGTGGGATTATTTTCTTTGTCCTGGTTCAGTGGAACTGAGGACAAGTTACTGGGTGTTGATAGACCATCTAAAGAGGGGACTCTAAACCGGACTGGTGTGTTTGTAAAACACAGCGCACGCACGCACACACACACACACACACACACACACACACACACACACACACACACACACACAGTAAATGACTGAATAGATGTCTATGACTCTTTGCTCATATTGATGGTGGTAGTCAAACTGCTGTTTAGATTTAAAAGCGAGGTGAGGCAACATTTCCATAGCTAAATCACACTGCTCTCGGTTTAAAATTTCTGCAAGCATGTCACTTATATATTTTGCAAGAAGTTGCAGAAACCGAACCAGTTTGTTTGAGAGATAAAGGATTGCTGTTGCTTGATTTGTTTTGTTTGTGAAATGTATAAAGTGCAGCGTGCTAAAGCTGTTTAACTCAGCAAACTGCCAACAACAATAGTTCTCAGGGGAATGCAACAAATTTAAATGATTAGATAAACATATTCATATCCAATATGTGAATGTCCAGGTTGTTTTGATGCACTCAAAACAAGCAGTAACACTTGTGAGATAAATTGGTGTTACTTTCCCTGAGACTAGCAAGAATGTTGCTAAAGAGTGCTGTCATTAATTAAAGCTGACACACCGTTCTGCAGACAAAGCAATGAAATGAACACTAATTCAGCTGTGCAATTTACCGCAAACAATTGCTAGTGTTATGTAAGGGGCCCTGTGTGCACTAGAGACATTCTTTAAATCTCTTTCCCTTCTCACTGTTCAAGAAATTAGTTAATGTTCCATAATGGAATGGACACAGTATCCATTCTCACTTAGACAGAGCTCCAGACCATAACAACTACTACACTGCACTGTATTTCACACACACACACACACACACACAAAAATATTGTTATATTCAAGAGAAGAACATATATGGCATTATTATTTTCATTTCAGAATATTCTGAAATTATACAGTTTTTTTAATACAAAGAAACACAGATCTTGTATTTGAAATAAAATATTCCATCAACAATATTCCAGGAGTTAAATGGTCATGCTGAAACTGTGCTCTGGCCAACAAGACTCAAATTATCGTTTACTCTTTTAGTCTATATCACTGTTTGTTAATATTGGCTGTCTGTCACATGAGAAGCATGCTCCTAACACTCATCCTGATAACCTTCTCTGATGCAACAGTGTTTCCTCAAATTGGAAATCCATTAAGTTAAAGTTAAGCTAAGAATTCATCAAACCAATACTGAAAAAAATAAAACATTAAAACATTTTGTTCTTCCACCAGGTACCCTAAAACGACACCCTGAGGGCAACAACTGAAATTCTTTCTGTAATGGATGATCCAAATTCCTTAAAATGTGCCTTGGTTAAAACCTGTTTATGTTAAATTTCAATGGGTTGAGTCATTCTAATAACTTTTCCTGCCAGACTACAATACAGAAAGAGAACACTGATTCACCTCTACAGGTCCAAGGTAAGCAGAAAATGTTGATGACAAAGTCAGTTTTATATTATATTATATTATATTATATTTAGGGCTGTCGCGATTCGTCGATTCTATTGGACTATTTGATTTTTAAGAATCCTCGACTTAATTTTGCCTGCGTTGACTAACCGGCAAAATACCAGAAGTGGTGCATTACATGGACGAGAATCCATAAAACACATTATTAGCACTGATCTATATGATTCTCTATAGATCAGTGATTATTAGACTGTTTTCCAAGGCCTCATGATATATTAAACCCGTTTAAAAATCATAATTAAGCATAACTGTGAATTCACAAACGCTACGATGTAATTAAATAATTATATGTGATGTAGTTATAGGTGTGTAGGTTACGTACGTGCATCTCACAGCGGCTCCGTTCACAGTAAATGCTGTTCCACAGGAACTGTTATCATTTACATGTGTGGAGCGGCTCAAACTCCATCTCTGCATGTTGTTGTGAGTTTGGGTTTATTATAACGTTCATCTGGGAACCCAACGCGCGCCATTTCATCAGATTTGTAAAGTAAATCATTTATAAATCCACGCAAACACAGGAGAATACATCATTATCTCGCGGTTTCAAAATAAAAGCTCAAACCCTCAATCTGAATTTACACGTTTTGATGTCCACATATTCATTAAATTACAGTGGCTATAGCATTTCTGTCCTAAAGAAATGGCCAAATATTAAGGATTAAGTGGACATTTGAATTAATTGATGCTTTATTAAACAAGTATTAGATCGCACAGTAATGTGTAAAAACAATCGTCAGGCCTTTGGCGCCCTCTGCAGGCCTGTGTTGTAATGCGTAATGTACATTAGCTCTATTCACTGATCTATAATAGAGATTATATCATATTATTTTATAATTATATATAGATCAGTGGCTCTTTTAACAGTTTTGTTCAATAAAACCATATGATTTATTGCTTTTGATACTTTATTTGAACTAATTATTATTGCCTCGTTGCTATTATATATGTATTTTAAAGGGGTCCTATTATGCTCTTTTACAAAGTCTTGATTTTGTTTTGGGGGTGTACTAGAGCATGCTCTCATGCTTGGTGGTTCGAAAAACGCATTATTTTCCACATAATTTCCATTATTAAAATACCTTTCTCGCCAGCCTGCAACAAACGGCTCGATTAGTTCCAGCTTTGATGAAGGTCCCCCTTTCGAAAAACAAAATGTGTTGTGATTGGTTAGCTGTCCCAGTGCGTTGTGATTGGCGAACAGCTTAGACGGTGTTTCAGTACTGCCACGCCCCCTTGCTCCGTCTTTCAACAAAAGCTTTTGGGAATCCGGCACTTCTCACTCGTGTTGTGGAAGCTGTCCTCAGTAAAATGCGCAGCACACAATAGCAAATAGGGTTTATAATGCTCAGGAACAGAGTTAAAAAGTAAATTGCAACCACTGTTTCCTGACATCATGCGCTTTCGGAAGCCCAAACAAAGACGTTTGGGCACGGAGGTGAAAAAAAAAAAACTGCGTTTCAGGCGGTCGCGCACCGGACGAGAAGCATAGCATCGCCACGGCTTTAAAATTCAAATACATTATTTTCTATGAGTGTAGGCACACCGCGGCGCCATTCGGCGTCTGTCCACGGCGCCCAGTTACGTCGTGTTATATTTGTAAGAATTGTTCTAGACCAGCGGTTCTTTATTACCAAAAAAATTAATTATAATATTTTATTATTAGTAGACCAGAACACGTGGACATGTTGTCATTCTTACACTATAATACTGAACTTTGATTTCAGTGATTTGGACTATGAGATGGACACTTGCTTCTTGCACTCTATGTTGCACTTTACTTTGCTTTAAAAAAAGGATTTCATAGAAATTTGAATTTCATTTGGAGTTTCACTACTGAAGTCCTCTGTAAAAAAAAATTCCATCATGCTGGAGATGTCTGTTTAAATCTGTTGTTTACACATTTCTAAGAGTACTTTTAATACTTAAAATGTTTAATAATAATAACAACTTTTAATAATAACATTTTAATACATGATTCTAGTGGACTCTAAACATTGCATTTATTTAATGTGAAAACCCAACTGTTGGGGTTAATTGAAACAGATTTAGTTTTTCCCTTTGTAGTTGCACTCACAGCTGTAATGAAGAAGCCCAGAACATGTGGATATATTGACATTAAGAACATGCTGACTTTCTCAGACTTTTGTAATTATTTTCTTTTTTTATTAGGTTTGTTTACATTTTTACTCTTTTAGTTTTACATTTCGTCAATGCTTGTTTACATTTATACTTTTTTATGGTACACTACTGAATGGCAAAGTTGCAAGTTTAATAAAATGTTCTTTAAAATTTTAGATTTTTTAATGGGAAATTAATCGTTTAGATTAATCGATATGTAAATAGTCGTTAGTGGCAGCCCTAATTATATTATATTATTACATATTATATTATATTATTACATATTATGCACAGATTCATTGGCCCAGGAACTCAAAACCATTCACCTTGATGAGTCTAGCTTCTAAGTGAACACAAAACACTATTACTTAGAGTTACTCAGCTATAACTAAAGTGCTGTTGAATTTAATCCGGTGTTCCACTAACGAACCATAACAAACATGGTGCAGAGCTCCATACATCTGTCCTACAACAGTGAGTTAAACACCCATATGGATAATGCAATCAGAATCTAATTCATACAGTCTACAAGCAGTTTCTTAAATGGCAATGGCACCTCTGTGAAGATCACAAGAGGCTCTAAACGTTTCAGAAAGGTGATCTGTGTTTCCAAAACATAAATCACATGAATATAATGGCAGTCTGGGTTATGGTGCTTTGAAGTGCACTTTTTTCTGAGAACTAATTTGATTGAAGACTTTGGCAAATCTATTTGTACATAACGGTCAGTATCTGCTGTAGCATACAGGAATAAAATGAGGGTTATCAGTACTAGTGAAAATGACTGACCTTGCTTCTCCTGTCCAGCTTGGCTGTCCCATCCCAGAAAGTGCAAGTTAGCCAGGGCCTGTGCAATTTTTTCATCAACTGCACTGTGTTGTCCCACTGTGCATCTGTGCTCTGGATTAAACTCTGATGTTCCTGAGGCTTCTATCTGGCTAAAATTCCCCTGTTCACAAACACTGAGCCCCTGTTCTGCTAGGCTTTCCAATCGAAATAATTCCTTTGGATCACAAATCCCATCTGTCCCATGCTGGCCAGTCTGGTCTAAATGGTTAGTCTCAGATGAAAACATTTTCTCTGGGCAGAACTTCCTTAGGATATCCTGATAGCTGCTGGATGTTAAGTTCATCAGCTGCTCTGCCACCTCTTGTGCCTCATCCCGCATATACTCCAGAGAGAGCTGTCCTGAATTGCAGAGGGGGCTGATGGGACTTCTGCTGCCCCTCAAACAGCAGTAGATCTCCACAGATACTTTCTCTGGAACATCGTGGCCTTGAAGGAGAAAAGGTGAGAAAAGTTCAGTGAGGCAGCTCATCAAATATGTTAAATGATACCTCTTCTATCTGCTCATGATGGACTACATCATTTTGATCTTGTTTATCTTGTTGTCTAACCACACTATATTTGCTTTATTTTGTTCGTTTCCATCAGTGTTTTCAGACAGATGCTCTATCTACTTTTTTAAATTTGGTCATTTGTGATTTTGTTTAGCTTTTTGTTTTACAAAGTTTGTTTTACAGCGTCTTAAACTAAAGGCTGCTGAAAAAAGGACAAGTCCTTCAATATATCCTAAACATTAAAAACTAGGGTAATATTTGTACATCACTGTATTGTCTTGTGTTACGGTCTTGATTCAGGTCACATGGCAAAACACAAAAACAGGATGTTATGAACACTGGAACTTTATATTATAGGAAGAAATCAGGCACTGGCCCATTTTTGCTTTTACTGACACTTAAAGCCATCAGGTAACATGAGCTCACAACTCTATTTCATTATGTTTCAAGACTGAACTATTTCTTTCAGGTATTTGTTGCCTTCTAACTATTTGTTTCCATAGAAACACTTATTCTTCACTCCTCACTATATACAAACAAGCACTATTACTATACAGCACTGTACTGGTTTCCATGTCAACAGGAAATCCCCTTACAGTCCAGTTCACACCAACGATGATAACCATAAAGATAACTATAACTTTAAAGTTTTAATAATCATTCTAACTCTATGAAAATAGGTAAGACCACACCACAACTATAGAAATAACGACAATATCAACAATATCGTTGGAATCATTTTCAGAGCATTTATTTTTCCAGATGACGGATGATAAAAGCATTGACAGCCAATCAGAAATCCACCTGACTAGAGTGCTCAAGCATTTGAAGTGGCAGATGGAAAAAAAAAAACTACAGCACCTTTTTTTAAATAAACGATGTTAACGTGCGTTGACGTAGATGCCAATATAGTTATTGTTATAGTTCTTGGTGTGAGCTGGCCTTTACACAATCAAAGAAAATCGGCATATATGCACATCTATTAAACCCTGTGATTTATTCAGTGTCTTACCGGGCACAGTGAATCTAATTGAACCTTGATCCTCGGTCCTGTGAGCTGTAGTTACATGGTGAAGGAACGAGCCTACAAGGACCACATAATAGTCAGCTTCTTCTTGAATACACGGTGACACCTGCAGCTTCACAAAGACCTCCACCTGACCCTGAGAGAAAGACAATTACATCCACATTATGATTTGTGTTACACACAGCATGTCATAATGGATTGATCAAAAATTTATTTTTAAAGCCAAGACAAATCTTTGGAAATGGAGCTTATTATTCAGGCAAACAAAGTTCACTGAAATGTTATGTTAGTCAAAATGAAAATGAAAATGAAACAGAGAGAAATAATGACAGAGAGGGAAAAGATTGAGAGAGAAGACCAGTGAGAACGAGAGAGAGTCTTATTGTTTTTGTTAAAGGGGACATCAGATGATATTTTCACTTTTTTACCTTTTTTTTGACATTTAGTTGGGTTTCTGGCATGTCTGCCAGCTCAAAAAAGCTGAAAAGAAAACACACAGCCAGTTTGTTATGGGCTGTTTGAGTCTGAAACCGTGTAATCCAGCGAGCTGTTTCAATTTGCAGATGGTTTCTATGTAGATAGATAGCTAGCTATTTGAATAAGACCATGTCCGAGCCATATACGGATTTATTCATGTGCCTCAAGTTGACACGCGAGAGGGGTGGGGTGAGCATTAGCTCATTATCATTTAAAGAGACATGAACCAAAGCAGGTCGCTGTGAACAGAGCTGTTTTTGACAAGGTAAAAAGGGTGTTGTTTTACACGACCACTGAGGAATTTTAACCAGAGTATGTTACAGATATTTCATGAAGACCCTAAAGAATCATACCAACTTGTGGAAAATGGGCATCTGATGTCCCGTTTAATATTAGCTTGTTAATGCTGTTACTATATGAAGTCTGGTGCTGCAGTGGTAAAGTACACTGAAGATTGAGACCATATGAGACTTGAGTTGTGCAATCTGGACCTCCAACGTCTTGGCAGCATTAGGTGAAAAAGGAGGATATGAAATGTTTTCCCATTATCTCCAGCCATTTTGATTTGTTCACTGAACATTGGGCTCTTCCTGTATAGACTTGTTTGCATAGAAATTTGGTTATACCACAGTAAAGGACAAAGCTAAATCATGATGTAAATTTAAAGCAAAAAAAAAACACACACACCCTTAAATCAGCCCCGTTCCTAAGGCCTTAGACTGAACTATGATTGAAAAAATAACATCTTTTTGCACATTTTACAGAAGCTTTCTGTCCTAAACCCTCAAAGTCGTGTAGATGGTGTTACTGCATAATGTTATTGGACACTTTTGTTTATCTACACTGTATTACCTATAAATAAGTATTTTATGTAAAGGTGTACCTACTTAACCTTATTGTGGACAAATTTGTACCCAGAAGTGAACTAAATCGGACAAAATCTCCATTTGGGGATGTCCTCTTCTAAACACAGTATAAAATAAATAAAGTGTTTTTATTGTAAAAATGTAGAGAGTTTTCTGTTTAGGTTAGGGTATAGTATTTATAACTAGCTGTATAGAAAAACAAAAGAAGCCTATGCAATGCCCTCATTTAGATAGCTAAGTAAATGTGTGTGTGTGCGTGCGTGTGTATGTGTGAGAGAGAGAGAGAGAGAAAGAGCGTAAAAATGTAGAGAGTTTTCGGTTTAGGTTAGGGTATAGTATTTATAACTAGCTGTATAGAAAAACAAAAGAAGCCTATGCAATGCCCTCATTTAGATAGCTAAGTAAATGTGTGTGTGTGCGTGTGTGTGTATGTGTGAGAGAGAGAGAGAGAAAGAGAGAGAACAGTAATTCTTTATTTAAAGTGTATGAAGTCTACGCCAAGGCTGTATGTTTATAGGTCTTTCTGGTCTCAGATGCAGCTGTTGAAGATCAACAGTACCGTCAGAACTGACTCTGTGACAGACAAATGAAAATGAACTGATTGTGCTGGTGTTGAACCTGATTATGACGCAATTGCTTTACTCTGAATTAAGGTTCTAAAGAAAGTGTAAACAAAGTTCGCCTGGTGGAACAAACTGGTCTTGGTTTTTAGTTAAAATGAAGTTCAAGTATGGGAAATGTATCCATTCATGAGGCTCTGAATAAAATGCTGTGTGTTTATTTCATATTGGGAGCCTTAACTGCTGATTATTAGATTGTTTAAACAAAGCAATTAGGGTGATTAATCAGAGGCTGGACTCATTATCAAAAGTATGAGATCTTGATTAGTACTATGCTCAGCTCTATTGTTTCACTGAATATCAACTATTTTTTTCTCCAAAAAAATATACAACATTGTTTGACTGTGATCTCATGGAAGAGAACTTTAACGAAAAGGGAATTTTAACTTTCATTAGTCACTAACAAACATTATAGGCCTCATGTTTAACAGATCAATGGTTCACGTACATTTAAATACGTTTTAAAATACTGTATATGACTATTTGAATAAATTATACATGTTAATGCTATTATATGAACTGTAAGATGAAGTGTTACCATATTTACATTTATGTGCAATACTGTACCATACAACAGAACGGAATGAGCACTACAATAAACAAAGAACAAGTTTGCTAAATACATGAGAAATGAAGAGCCACAAAATCTCAAACAAAATACAACCAGAATCATGGAAAGTTATCCTAAAACAACACAGAGCCACTATGTATAACACATGCACACAAAAAAATAACAAATCCATAAGCACAATAATTCATCATCAATGCAGGCATTCACATACTGTACACTTACCAACACATACACACACAGCCCATAGACATTTATCCATAATTCCATGCTCTGATTTCATTAAACAAACCCTGGATCAAAGAAAAACACCTTGTAAAAGAGGGAGGTGAACAGTAAATTCAGTCTCGCCAGAGGCATGTGTGTGTGTGACAAGTCACTTTTCTCTTTCTCCCTCCATTCAACATAAAGCCGCCGTTTGATTGTTTGCCTTCCTTCACCAGATGTCTCCCTCACTTCCTGTCATTTAAGAGGCCCTGCAGAAAAAGTGATGAGGGAGAAAGAAGGGATACAGAGCAGGTTTGGTGTGGGAATGAGGGAAAGGTGAGGTCTCTACTATTTTCTCAGGCTCTGTATAGGGATGAATGATGAGCATGGGATTCGCTCTGCTCCTCCTCTTTTCTTTCCTCACTCTGCCTCTCAGTTATGCAGATTCGCAGAGTTCCTCTCTCTTCCCACACAATCTTGCTGTCGTTTTGCAGTAAATAGCAGTAAAAATCTCATATCCTTAATCTAACAGACCAAAAACCTTACATCACAAGATGAGTCATGTTTAAATGTTTTTTAAAAATGGTTTCTATTTTAATCAGCATGTGATACTTCCCATTTCTTGACAATCCAGTAGGCTAAATTAAATACTAAAAAAGAAAGGTTACTGATTATTTTCACATTTTATTTGGAAACTGGACAAAACCAAAAGATAAGACTGTTCATAAGAAATGAAATAGTCTGGCATCAGTGGAAAAACAGCTGCTTCACAAAGTAACACTTGAATTAAAAAATATATATAATTTAAAAAAAATCAAAATACATGTGTGTGTCTATGCATGTATGTATTTAGATTTTTTGAGGAAAGACCACACAAAAACATTTGCTTTCAGGATGATATTTTTTGGAAAACAAGCCAAAAATACTGATTTAGAAATCAATGCTATAGTCACATCAACAATATTTACTGAACCTCATGAATCATGATTATTTCAAAAATTGTATGCAACAGATGGAGCACAGCAGTTAGCAAGCGTATGTTTTGTCCTATGTTTAGTCTTGTCATGCTGGCTTATATATTAAGAAAAGAGCAGAAGCTAAATTACTGCAGTTACTCCAGGGATCGATGAGAGGATGTTATTGTCTCCAGCACCTGCTTACAGACTAGTTCCTGGAAGAAAAACACCTCGCTAATACACTGGTCCCTATGGATGGCATGTGTGTGTTCCCTTACCAGTGACCTAACTACCGCCACCTGAGAAGGGTGTGTATGGGTTCTCATGTTCAAACAGGATTCATGTCCAAATGCATGTTTAGAAATACTATTCAGTAGTGATTATGTCTTTCTACCATCTTTTCAGACATCGGTGCATCTCACAGTTTACATCATCTAATCTATCTGACACACAACATTTACATTTTAAAACAAAATAAAGCAAATTTTAAACAGAATAAAAACCACTTTAGTCAAGGCTTTAAGAAATATAGGTGCAACACTAAGTGATAAAAGTGTGAGCAATTTTGTTTAATTATTACTATTTCTAACCAGTAGAGTTAGTTTTATAACAATGTGCCAAAGCTTTAAAACCATAAACATATTAAATTGTCACTTATTTACTGGAGGTTCGGTCAATTACATGACTCATCAAGGATGGGCGATACCATTATTATTCACCTTAGGCATGGGACGATAACCGGTTGTAAGGTATACCGCGGTTTGGAAAAGTCACGGTTTCAAAACCACTAAAATTTTCTGTTATACCGTTCCTGCGGTATGCACAGTTTTTTTATGCGTCAAAGACGGAAAGTGCAGGACTCCCTCAGTTGTGTGCAGCGAAGAGCGTAACGAGTCACACGACCCCCTCCCCCTCCGGTTGGTGCGAGACTGTGAGCAGTCAGTCAGTCAGTGAGAGTCACCTGTGTGTAGGATGGCTGAAGGAGGTGAATCCATGGACCTTTTTCCCCCCGTCGAAAAAGATTAAGTCTGCCGTATGGGAATTTTTCGGGTAACGTAGACTAACCATGTTCCGTACACAATGATGTTCCGTACAGATGGAGCAGCATTAACTACACAGAGCCGTTGTTCACCGACAAGCTGCGCAAAACCACGATCATATTTTGCGCATGTTTTGCGCAGCTTGTCAGTGAACAACGGCTCTGTGTAGTTTACATCTGTTCAAAATCACAACATTTAAAAAAAAAACAATCAAACTGCTGGCTCTCAGGTGTCTTTGTCACTGTTTGAGTGTTGTATGGAGAAAGACCATGTGTGTGTGTGTGTGTGTGTGTGTGTGTGTGTAACACACTCTTGCTCTCTCTTTCCTTATGTGTATGTGCACACATCCTCGTACTTCACAGCTCCAAACTTAATCCAGGAAAGGTGAACATTCCTGCATTA